GTCTGATAATCAAAATTTTTTTCAATAGAAAACTGTATTAATTGGTGAAGCTTTTTTTTTCGAAATATATCTAGTATACGAGGTCCAAAAAATAAGGTGAATTTTCATCTTTATCAAAAAATATTTATTTACTCATCAATTTCTTTTTTGTCCTTTTCAAAGTAGTTCCACTCAGATATAATACACTTCACACGGTTCTGATATGCACTTTTTGGTATGTCCTTGAGCTTTCTTGGTGATTCAGTTTTCATTTCCTCAATCGCCGCAAAACGCCGTTCTTTCACGGGTATCTTAAATCTTGGGAACAGGAAAGAGTCACAGGGGGACAAATCTGGTGAATATGGTGGCCGTGAATTGTTTTTCCACAATACCAGACGGGATTTTTGTATTGCTTCTCGCAAGCAGGGACTTATCTTCAAGATAATATTCCTTACTGACTGTACGACCATGTGTCCTGATGCACTACGCCACGATAATCGAAGAAATCAGTGAGCAAAACTTTGACATTTGATCAAAGTGGCGTGCCTTTTTTTGTCTTGGCTCTCCTGGAACAAATGGACTTTGGTTTCGATGTCTTAACCATATATATCCATGATTCGTTACCGGTTATGACCCTTTTAAGCAATTCTGGATCGCCGTTGAGGCCATTCAACAATTTCTGAGCAATGTTTATGCCACGGTTTTCCTACAAAATTCAGCAATTTTGGAACGAACTTTGCTGCCACACCCTTCATGCCCAAAATTCCGAAAAAATTGCGTGGTATGAGCCAACTGACATGCTGACATCCTCAGTAACTTCTCGACGATTCTCCATAACAATTTTTCTCGCTTTCTTAACATTTTCATCGATTGTTGATGAGCTGGAGCGTCCAGGGCCAGCGTCGTCATTTACATCTTTTCGACTTCCTATGAAAAGCTTGTACAGTTTGTCAAGAATAGGAAAAAGTTTCAAAATCTTAATTTGAGACCGCCTTAGCTGTGCGCAGAAGACAGGAGTGGAAACGCCCACAGCCCAGTCAGCCGAATTTGTCTGTTGTGAAGTGAGCATCGCGGGTTAACCGCATGTACAGTCCGAGCAGAAAGGGTACAATTACAGCGTAAAGGGTACAATTTGAGTATTGTAACTTAACCAGGATGGAGTTTAAATCAAACCCAAATCGCTGACAAGTCAAACGAGAGAAGTTATAGCCAATGTATTTTTTTATGCAACAAGAAGAGGCAGAAAATAAACCTATAAAGGACTTTGAAAAAGTTCAAGAAAGAGCTGTTATGGCAACTGGCGTAAGTTTAAGCAGTATATATTGAGAATGGAGAAGCCGCTGCTTTTTTGACGCCAAATATAAAAAGAAAGCCGCAGCTAAAAGTAACTTAGATGGTTTTGATAAAGGATTGCTACGAAGATTTATTATTAATAATTATTCTGTTGATAAAAAGATTCCAATGCTTCGGAGCAAACATCATAAATTTAAATCCGAAAATAACTATGCTGGTTCCTACGAAAGCTTGAAAAAAGTTATGCATGATATGTGATTTCGTTGGAGGAAAACGAAAAATAATCGCAGGCCGCAAAAATTTCACCCTTTTTCCTATTTTTGACAAACTGTACCACTTGTAAACATTTTTCTGAGTCAGAGCACAATAAGCGTACGCCACTGTCAACATTTCAAGTGTCTTTAAGCACATAATTCCATTTTTTACACAACTGTTGATCAATTTTTTTCGATAGTGGAAAATCGCTGAACAGGCAAAACAAATCAAATTTTTATGCCTCTCACCAACAATCTCGACATGCTAAAGAGCTGAAACTAGCAACATACCTTCGATACGAGTGTACTGATATGAAAAAATCAAAAAATCATAGCTAATAGAATGTACACAGCCCGCGAAACATTCACCTTATTTTTTCAATAGACCTCGTACAATCTCAGGAGGAAAATTTTAATATTTTGAAAGCTACACTTGTATAATATCGCATGTATTCAACAATGTTATGAAATCAATAGCTATCTCATGAAATTATATAAAAACTTCTCGATGGTACGGCAAATTTGGAACTATTTGATACAAATATTTTAACTATCCATGATATTTTATGTTGTTATTTGATTTTTTTTCTGTTTTCTGAAAAAATTACTATTTTTTTCACCATTTCTACATGTGAATTACGAATCATGACTCACACTAGACAACTTGGTCGAGTTCAACATTCAAAAAATTAACCATTATATTCAAAAACGGTCCTATTATTCGGTGCTTTTCAAAGGATCAGTAAATATCTTCTATACCTGCTCAACTTTCAAAATAAAAATCTTTGGAAACCTTCCTATTGGTCACATAAATACATCATTCAAGCAGATTCCCATAATGCAGTTAGTCTATGTTCTACCTATGAATTGAATCGAATCAAACGTTTCTGTGTTTTTTCTTTCGGTTCGAGTCCCTGCCTAAACAATAACAGAAGCTCTCCTAAAGCATGAAGCGTTCGAAACACTGTTATCTCTAAAGTATGCTACTAATTATTGAATTATTTCGATTTCCATAGGTATAATCGCTTTCGGCATGCCCAAGCACAGAACCAAGATGCATAGAAACGTGGCATAGGAAATTTTCGCTCGACAAATTTTTGTTTCATCATCACTCGATATATATGACTTTGATACTTTTGAAAATTTCACATTCGTGTCAAGGACACCATCGCCATCTTGGCAGATAAAAAACTCTGAACTATACCCACCAAAGTGAAGTATCAGAAAGATCTATTTATTGTACTGATTTATTTTTCAAGGTTCTAAAGACATCAACATAGTTATAAGGGTTGTCCAAATGAATGGTGGATATGTGTAACAGTGTCGGAACCACAGAAGTGAATTTTAATTAATATTACTACATGGACTGTAAGAGTAACAGTAAATATTGAAATTTCGACTTTAAATCTCGTAATTTTGAAATTAGGAGTATAAGTCGTAATTTCAAGTTAAAAAGCCGTAAAGTCGTGTTAAAAGGCCGTAAAGTCGTGTTAAAAGGCCGTAAAGTCGTGTTAAAAGGCCGTAAAGTCGTGTTAAAAGGCCGTAAAGTCGTGTTAAAAGGCCGTAAAGTCGTGTTAAAAGGCCGTAAAGTCGTGTTAAAAGGCCGTAGAGTAGTGTTAAAAAGCCGTAAAGTCATGTTAAAAAGCCGTAAAGTCGTGTTAAAAAGCCGTAAAGTCGTGTTAAAAAGCCGTAAAGTCATGTTAAAAAGCCGTAAAGTCGTGTTAAAAAGTTGAAATGTCATGTTAAATATTTGTAATGTTGTGTTAAAAAATCGCAATGTCGTGTTGAAAAGTCGTATCTACGAGTTTACAGTCGTAATTCAGAAATTACGAGGTTAAAGTTGAAATTTTGCGTTCAATTTTAAAATTATGACTTTAAACTGAAAATTTCGGCTTTAATCTCAAAATTTCGACTTTCATCTCGTAATTCCGAAATTACTGCTTTAACTTCGTAATTCTGAGTTAGAAGTCGTAGTTTCGATTTGAAAAGTTAAAATTTCGAGTTGAAAAGTTATAATTTCGAGTTAAAAAGTTATAATTTCGAGTTAAAAAGTCGTTATTTCGAGGTAAAAGTCGTGATTTCGAATTGAAAGTCGTAATTTCGAATTAAAAGTCGTGATTTCGAGTTAAAAGTCGTAATTTTGAGCTAAAAAGTAGTAGTTTTGAATTAAAAAGTCGTAATATTGAGTTAAAAGTCGTAATTTCGAGTTAAAAAGTTATAATTTCGAGTTAAAAAATCGTAATTTCAAGTTAAAAGTGGCGATTTCGAGTTGAAATTTACGATTTCGAGTTAAAAGTCATGATTTCGAGTTAAAAGTCGTAATTTTGAGCTAAAAAGTAGTAGTTTTGAATTAAAAAGTCGTAATTTCGAGTTAAAAGTCGTAATTTCGAGTTAAAAGTCGTAATTTCGAGTTAAAAAGCTGTAATTTCAAGTTAAAAGTCGCGATTTCGAGTTGAAATTTACGATTTCGAGTTAAAAGTCATGATTTCGAGTTAAAAGTCAGGATTTCGAGTGAAAAGTCGTGATTTCGAGTTGAAAGTAGTAATTTTGAGTTAAAACGTCATAATTTCGAGTTAAAAAGTCGTAATGTGGGTTACAATGTCTTAACTTCAAGATTAAATTTCGGGTTTTGAAGTCTCAATTTCCAAGAAACAAATATTAAAAATGTGACCGTTCTGCGTTTCCGTAAATAATAGTATCTGTTGAAGAAATTGTCAGTGACTTGAAATAAATTGTGCCAGTTGATTTTTGAATTCAGAAAGTAATCATCATTAACATTTTTTAAAAATATTTTATCTAGGAGACCGCGGATTTTTTCAAAACCATTGTAGATTTTGTGGTACTCCATGATGAATCTAAGTACCTGGTGGAATGAATGTGAATATTCTCAGATTGTAAATCATTGCATTACAGCAAATTTTTTTACTCATTTACATGAATTTGAAGAATATTGAAATGATGTTTCATTCATTCACGTTTTTTCATGTTCAATAACATTTTGAACAGAACTCCAATGGATCAAATCTTCTGATCAGATATTTATAGACAATATAGATATTGTCTGGCAGGAAATACACAAAACACTAGAAATCTAATTGTAGTATCTTGAACTTCCTACACCAGGATTTTATACATCTTGGACAGAACTTATTCATTTCATTTGACATTTGTGAAGAAAAAAATGTGTAATTCTTCAGGAGAAACATGTACTTCAAATTTTACAAATAAAATTATGGTTGATACACAAAGTTGAACTTTCACTACGTTCTTTCATTGAGACAAGTTTTTCAATAAAATAATTTTCCACAACATGAACGTACAACCTTCTAATACTGATTTATAACAGCAACTATTCTTGAGAAAACTGATAGAAGTACATATTTCAACTGAGCATTTAAACATCAAAGTTAGAACCATATAAAGACATTGAAGTGATAAAAAAATGTAGAGTTGATAAAGTGTTTGAAAACTTACGTTCACAAGCGAAAGGTTTGTCAGGATCTCCGGGAGTTGGCTCAAAACTGAGCCCAGATTTTTTTCGTCCTCTACCAGCACCTTTTTTTCTTCCTGGAGTACTGGGAGAGTCGGTGCCGCTTCGTCCCTAAACGCACAAGAATTATTTGTAGACAATCAGTTTCACACAGGTAGGTATATAAGGGCTACTTTTTTTTAATAAATAAATCCTGGACATGGATTAAGGACTTCAGTAAAAAAAAAACACTTATGCATACCCTTCCAGTGCCGCGTCTCCCCCTTTTCTTCTTTGTGTACGTTTCTTCGTAATCCAAATCAGAATCGGGATCAGGTTCATCATATGCTTCCATTTCCAGCATATCAGTTTCATCATAAAACCACTCCTAGAAAATTTATCCAATGAATTGTTTCAATTCAACATTTGTAATGCTTCAAGAAGTAATCTCTTACCTTTGAGACTTCATCCTTGAGGAGCAGCTGGCTATCTTTGCTGTCAGTGTCTTGGAGGGCTGGATTCTCAATTTGCGAGATATTGTGCATATCTACTTCGCTGCCATCAAGTAAATGGTCTGCAGCTCTGGCGAAGGCTCTTGCGTTCATAGTTAGGTACTGTCTTCTCTTTTTCCTCCATCTTTGCCGTGGATAAGAGTATATTTGACCAGGAAAGAGACCAGGGATTCGTTGCCTTTTGTTCATAAACAAAGCCGAATGGTTCTGGGCTACCCCAGTTTGAGTATCGATGAAAGGCAACCGCAGTCTTCTTTCGATACATAATCGTGTGTTATAGTTGACAGAGTTTTCCAAAGCTTCTTTGTATGCGGGGTCATTCAGAAAACTACAAAAGTATTGCCTTATGTTATCACCTTTCAATCTTACTTCACAATGCTCATTAACCTAACCCACCTTATATACAATTAATATTGATAAGGTTAATAGAGATTATTATTATTCCTGAAATTTAATTTCTATAAGTAGAATTATTTTAATATTATCCAGAAAAAAAAACACATCCCTTTCAATCTGGGCTATTAACAATATCAACAGATGGCGTTAGAAGTTTAGGAAACTCGATAAAAAGAATTATGCAAGGAGTAGGTTTTGTTTCATATCTACCAATAATTATTTTGATTATTTTAATTTAGAGAATCCTGCAAATTGATTCCCAAAGCAAAATTCGACTAGAAGGGGACAAATAACTGGGCAGGAAAGATTCGCACCGCAAATACACCAAATGCTTTCAATTCCAAAATAATGATGAACATTCCTTTACCTTTCAATTTTTTCTAAAGTTGTTCGAGTGCTCACAGTAGGACTTACAACGTCCACTGGCGTTAAAACAACAGTAGGCGAAGCAATCACAGCCATTTTGTGAGCGTAGCGTGTATTATCGATCATCAGTATCAGTAAATAAATCTGGAATCTGCCACTGTTGTTCCGTGTCACTTGTAACGTGTCGTCATAGTGTATATTCTGTGGTGTAGCACTCAATTTATGAAATTCTGTGAATGTTGGAGGTTTCCATTGATAAAACTTTTTTCATTAATATACCACATTTTTCTTCTGGTTTATCCTCGCTTGAAAAAGAGGATGTTATAATATAGGCAACTATACTTGCTATCCAATTTATTGCTTGCGAACCGAATATACTAACGATTTGTTATGCAAATTCATTCATGATAACGTTCAACTGAGTAGTAGGTGGTGCAACTACTACTATTTGTAAAGTTCAAACGACATTGCAGAATTGATATGCTAACTTGACATGGTCAAGTATTGTAACTTGAGGTGTAATCAGCACCCCTATGAATTGAAAGCTAGAAATTATTGGATATCTTCATTATTTCTTCATTGAGAGTGAAGCAGGTCGAGAGTTTTTGACGAAATATTTTACATGGGGAACAGGTCGAAGTGATTACATCAGGGATATTCTATGCAACTCGTATTTGAAGCTCCAATCCCTGTCAATTCTCTAGATGAGAAATACCTCAATATCATCCACGAAAATGATCAAACAATTTTCACAAACATTTTATATTTCTTGACGTGTTTCGCTAACACCGTAGCTTACTTTTTTCTACTGAGGAAGCTATTGTGTCAGCAAAACGCGTCTAGAAATAAAAAATATTCGTGAAAATTGTTGAATAATTACTATGGATACTGTTATTAATTTTCATCAAGTTTTATATTTTGTATTTCTTTCTTTTTCTATACGTTTATATAATTAAAAACTCAACTTATCATTAAAAAAAAGTAACAGGTCAATCCATTCATTTGTTGTAAAAGAATTTTTGTAGGTAGGTACATTCTAGAGGCAGTTCCTTGAAACTTTTGCTTGAATTTCAGCAGTATAGTCGGTCGTCCGAATAAATTCGGCATTAAACGTAAATACCTTTGCTTATTAGTTCTGTTATCAGAAGTTACGTTTATTTTACTCTCATTATAACAATAAAACGATTAAGACACTAGTAGTGTTTGACTTTTGACGTTTCCCCAACTGACACTTGATGGATGGTGCAGTTGACTGTTTAATTGAAATTTATAAACAAATACTTAGCCAAATAAAATTTGTGAATAAATTTTTGCTTCAACTTCAACAAGTACGAAAATGACGAGACATGCAAGAAATTGTACAGCAGGAGCAGTCTATACGTATCATGAAAAGAAAAAAGATGCACAAGCTTCTGGATATGGAACGAATAGCCAAAGACTAGGAAAGGACTCTGTGAAAGGTTTTGATTGTTGCTCTTTATCGTTGCAACCGTGCAGAAATCCTGTTATAACGTAAGAATACTGATTTTTTCATAATACTGGTCGGGAAAATTTTGATTTAAGCCAAGCTACAAGATTTTTGGTTCAATTTATAATAGCCAGTTTAAGTATTATTACAACTAATGAGACCATTTCTAGTCACTGTTCAATGTCTAATATCTGACTTGTAGGAAAGATGGACATCTCTTTGACAAAGAAGCTATATTGGAATATATCATAGCAAAAAAGAAGGAGTATAGTCGAAAGCTGAAAGAATATGAACGAAAAAAAGAGAAGGAAGACGAAGAGATTTCCCAAAAAGCTGCCGATGATTTTGGAAAGAAAGTTTCATCGTTTTTGAACAGTGAAAACAGTATTGTCAGTAAGCCAATGGATGGCTTCAAGCAAGGTAAGTTTTTATTTTACCTTTTCCTGTCTTTGTTTTCAAGTAAATTTTTTTGTGAGATGTTCAGTTTAAATCTCACAATAAAGTAATACTTGATATTTCTTTAAGAATTGGTATGTTTCATTACATCTGTTTTTTTATATTTTTAGTAAAGAAACCAGTTATAGTCCTTTTTTAAAGCTCCAACTCTGTAAAAGCATGAAATTGAAGCATGTCAGTCACATTCTTAGGGAATCAACTTCTCTTAGCTTTCGTTTTGCTTATATAAGATTCCAGCGCTGAAGATTGAAAATGACTTTCGTCATAACAATAGTTAAAAACAAAGTTTTCTTTGCACTGTAACCATTACAACTTAATTTTCTCACACTAGTTTAGAAACTAGTGTCGAAAGATTTACTTATTCATTTTGAATTATGTAAATTTGATGTGAACTGTCAGTGTTTCATTTTGATCCATAAGTTTTTTATAATATGAGATAGACCATACTATTTATGCTATGAATGCTGACTTTTGAAAAGTAATTAAAAGACTTATATGAAAAATAATATCAACATTTATTTTCTCACTTACATACTATCACAGATAAATAAAAGTTCAGTCTTTATATACATAAATAATAGGAAAAGGAAACATGTATGAACACTTCAGAAGAATAATGTAACTAATTTAATCAACTTCTTCGATAGTTGGTCCAGATCGTCCACTTCCAAATCCGCCTGCTTGCTGTCCACAACTTCCAGGCATTCCATTGGATGCATTTCCTCCATACTGGTTGTTTTGTTGGCCCCCACTATAAAGTTTGGCCATGATGGGGCTGCACATCGACGTTAACTGCTTCTGCTTGTCTTCATATTCTTCTTTCTCTGCCAAAGAGTTGCTATCCAGCCATTTCAGGCAACTTTCACATTCCCTTTCAATAGTAGACTTGTCTTCCGAAGACAATTTGTCTCCACAATCCTGTACAGCTTGTTTCAGTTGGAAGACATAACCTTCCAACTGATTTCTAGCTGCAAGTCTCTGTCGTTGACGTTCGTCTTCCTCCTTATATTTCTCAGCTTCGGCCAACATCCTGTCAATGTCTTTCTGTGACAGTCGACCCTTATCATTTTTAATGACTATGTTGCGGGAGTTGCCTGAACTGGTGTCTTTGGCAGATACATTTAGGATTCCATTAACGTCCAGATCGAAAGTTACCTCGATTTTTGGAACTCCACGGGGTGCGGGTGGAATTCCAGTCAAATCGAAGGTTCCAAGAAGGTTGTTGTCTTTCGTCATGGCTCTCTCACCTTCAAACACTTGTATGGTTACTGCAGGTTGATTGTCTGCATAGGTGGTGAAGGTCTGCGATTGCTTGCATGGAATCCTGGCATTGCGTTCAATGATTTTCGTCATAACTCCACCCGCTGTTTCAATGCCAAGAGATAGAGGAGTGACATCTACAAGCAAGACATCCTGGATTTTCGAATCTGTTTCACCGCTAAGAACAGCTGCCTGGACTGCAGCCCCATAGGCTACAGCTTCATCAGGATTAATAGACAGATTTAACGACTTGCCATTGAAGTAGTTCTGTAGAAGTTGTTGGACCTTCGGTATTCTAGTAGATCCTCCCACAAGCACTATATCATGAATCTGTCCCTTATCCATTTTGGCATCGTTCAAAGCTTTCTCAACTGGCTGCAGCGTCCCTCTGAACAGATCAGAACAGAGTTCCTCAAACCTGGCTCTGCTGATTTTGGTGTAGAAATCAATGCCTTCGAAAAGAGCATCAATTTCGATGGTTGCTTCTGTACTTGAAGAGAGTGTACGTTTGGCTCTCTCGGCTGCTGTCCTCAACCTGCGCAGAGACCTAGGATTGCTTCGGAGGTCCTTTCTGTATTTTCTCTTGAACTCATCTGCTAGATGATTGACTAGACGGTTATCAAAGTCTTCTCCACCAAGATGTGTGTCTCCTGCTGTAGCCCTCACTTCGAAGAGAGATCCTTCATCGATGGTCAATATAGAAACATCAAAAGTGCCACCACCCAAGTCGAAAATGAGCACATTTCGTTCACCTTTCAAGTTCTTGTCGAGTCCGTATGCTAGAGCAGCTGCTGTTGGTTCGTTTATAATCCTCAAAACGTTTAGGCCAGCAATAGCACCTGCATCCTTCGTGGCTTGCCTCTGGGAGTCGTTGAAGTAAGCTGGTACTGTTATAACGGCATCTCGGATCGAAGTTCCCAAATACGCCTCTGCAGTTTCTTTCATTTTGGTCAACACCATAGAACTGATTTCCTCAGGAGAGAAAGTTTTCCTCTCTCCCTTGTGTTCCACTTGAATTTTCGGTTTTCCACAGTCATTAACTACTTTGAAAGGCCAGTGTTTGATGTCCTGTTGGATTTTCGGGTCGTCGAATTTACGGCCTATCAAACGTTTGGCATCGAAGACGGTGTTGCTCGGGTTCATCGCCACCTGGTTTTTGGCAGCATCTCCGAGGAGACGCTCCGTGTCTGTGAAGGCAACATAGCTGGGTGTCGTTCTGTTACCTTGGTCGTTGGCGATGATCTCCACTTTTCCATGCTGCCACACTCCCACACAGGAGTATGTCGTTCCCAAGTCAATACCAACTGCTGGAGCTTTAACCATTTTTATTTCACTCGTTGAACTTTTCACTGAATAATACTTCAAACTGTATTTCACTTGAAATCGCTTGTACTACTTCGCACTTGCTTCTTTTTCGATCGCTTTATTTGAATTCACTGAAGTCCCGCTCATTCCGCCTGCTTATATATGAATGGCAAAATCGACCCGAACTCTCTCGAAACTTCTCCGATCGATATGGAACGTTCGCTCGCTTACCTGACTGTTTCTAGAGCGGCCAATCTGGAAACTTCTGTTGGGTGTTTCTCAACTGCACAGAAGATCTTAGAAAACACCTTCTGTTGATCAGTTTTTCTCAAATTTGCTATAGAAAATTGTCTCAATGAATTCTTATGCCTTTTTCTTTAATTTTTCAGCTTCCATAACCTTAAAAATTAATATGACAAGGTCACTGAAGGGTATACACTTTTTCATTTTCTTTCAGAAGACAGGTATAAATTTTCAATATTTTATGTATCTTTTTTTCAAATCAGTTTACCAGAAGTGTACTTTTTTGAGTATTCTGGTAATACGTGAACATCGTAAGAGTTCAAAATTTTCATTTCTAGATCCTATTAAAGTTAGAAATTAAAGTAATCTCAAGGTACCTGAAAAATATCTTTTTGATTTTTGTTTCAATTTTTAATGCGCGTGGTAACGAAATAACCAGAATGCCCTTCCATGTTCTCATTTCTCAAATAATGGGTGATTATTTCCGAAAATGTATGTTGACATTATATGTTGTTTTTAATTTAGAATAATATTTTACACTGATAACTATTGTGAATGAGTTATTATTATTTATCAACCATGACATAAAGTACGTATTCGTTTTTTGATGGAATATCCAACAAAGGGCCTCTATAAACCAGTACAGGAAACATAACTTTGGTGTGAAATGATTCCGAAGAAAACACTTTTTCCACTCCTGAACAAAAACACTGTATATCGACACTCGTGTCGTTAACCAAGTTATTGGTCATCAGAAGACCTTTTATCGTCTCTTGATGATGCTTGATGAATATTTTCAATTAATCATATAAGAAATTTGAGATAGCAAACCCCCACTAGTCTATATGAAGTGTGTGTAACATCTGAAAGCCTAATATAGCCAGAACATGTACCAATCGAATTTTTCAAGTTCGGATTCTCTAAGTAAATCTTTAGTGCAGTTGGGTCGTGCCTTGGATGACGACATTTGACAGTTTTCTGGCTTGTTCTAGAAAATGTAAATTTTATTACAAAAAAGTTAAATAACCCAAAATGGAATGTAGATATCAAGAAAATTTGAACATGTGTCAACTGGTTAGCAGTTCAGATATTCGTTTATCTTCAGTATTTTTTATATCGCCAGTAATTATTCCAAGAACCAAACAAAATAGGAATTCAAACACTTAATAGCAGTTTTTTAATAACTCAAATATTAATCAAAAGGTAACTAATCTATACTAACACAAATTGAGTAGGTAACATCGTCTGTCGAGAAAGTTTGTAAATAAAATGAATCAGAATATGTGCTGTTAGCAACATAATTGTAAGCAATTCCTTTCCCCGTGCTGTTATGGCCTCTGAAACGTTAAGAAAAGTACCTGTATAATTAGATCTTTTTAATAGATAGAATCATTACATACAAGTTACTGACGAGTTGTACATTTTTCTTTGCGATACTTTGAATTCACTAAGTAACTTATTGGAGTGAATTGAAGAGTTTGCATTTTGTACAGAATTCTAAAGTTCTCTATTAAAATTTTATAATTTTTTTCAAATTAGAGATGGTGAAAATTTCCAGGAAGGTCAATAAAAAATTAATATACTTTAGTTTTATGTGTGCAGACTTGTTTCAAGTTAAACCCAAATAATTTTTGAGATTCATCGTTTTTTATCAGCTTTGAATCTTTGGATATTTTTATCTGTTGCAATAAATATGTTGTTCCATTTTCAGATGCTCCAGGAACTTCATCCATATCGAACATGGCTGCAGGAAAAGATAAGGAACTTCCAAGTTTTTGGGTTCCTTTCAAAACACCTAGTGCAGAAAAATCAAACATAGAAAAACCTGTAAGTGTCGAGATTTCCAATATTTTATTCCTAATTTCCAAGATCAATTTCAGAAATGTCTTTACCGTAATCAATTTTATGAATTTGCTCATAATTTTCATATTATTTCAAGGACCCGATAATTTACTGTCCCATATCTCAGAAGCCTCTCAAAGCCAAGGATTTAATTGATGTCAAATTTACCCTCGTGAACGATCCCGATGACAAGAAATCCATACACACGAGAGAAAATAGATATATGTGTGCTGTCACCCACGACATTTTGAGCAATTCTGTTCCCTGCGCTGTTCTGAAACCAACGTAAGTAAGAGTAACGAGAAAGAAAAAAGATATTTTGAAATTTGAGACATTAATTCAATCTCCAAGATACAGAATCGCAAAAGGGCCATATATTTTTATTTGTTTTTTGGAAACGCTTCCATAGAAAGATGACCTTTGATGAATGAGTTTCCAAAATGGATAACTTTGTTTCAATGTTCTGAAATGAAGATGATTTGATATATTAAAAACTGATGGTTGTTGGTGTCTCAAGTTTCGTAAGTCTCCAAGATAGCATTAAAATATATTTGTACATACTGTACCACAGTGCAGATATATAAATAAATGACACATTCGTGAATTGATACTGTGGTGTTCTCCAAGGTTCTCTTCTTGGACTCCTGAGCCTGAGTCAAATAGGTTATTTATATAATATAGATAGATCGGAAGTATATAAGTTGACTTGCGGTTCTTGTTCTACATTTTATATTGGCCATACTGAAAGAATTTTCTCCAAAAGAATAAAAGAGCATAGAAGTAGTTTTTCGAATGGGAAGAGCAATTCAACATTTGCGAATCATCTTTGGATGGAGGGATGAGTTCAATCACGATTATGACGTATTGCATTTGGAGAAGGGTTCAAAACTAAACCTTGTGGAATGTTTAGAAATCAATAGATATAAAAATTCGGGATTATTGATTAATGCTCAAATAGATTCGAATTGTTTTGTTTCATTGAATTCGGTTTGCAACGAAAAAATTGGTAATGGGGAATGTTCCTCCTGATGAAAATCAAGTAGATTTCATAAAAGAGCTCTAAAACAACGCATTTTAAACTCATCATTTCCACCTTTTTCTTTAAAAAAATATTTAAATACTTAAAAAAGAGGAATGAAATAATGCATTCAACATTTAAAGGGATTCGTTTCTATTTCATCATTTGGCAACATCGGTTATAGCTAATAAAGGACAATGAATCTGTACCTGTATGAGACAAACAAAGATGACATATTTCAGAGGCGTGCTGTTCTGTTTACTTATGTTCCGAGTTCCAAAACATTCTGTGACATATGAAATTTTGTGCACCTAACCTATCTTCCTCTATATAAATAAATAACAAAACAACTGTTGTTTATGTGTCTTGTGGAGGTGGTATTGAATTGAATGATTCTTATTCTTCTAGCATACTACTAACCTGAATTCCGATCTAGCATTCTAGGCGCTATTGTCAATATGTGAATTAGAATCAAATCCCTTTAAAAATTGAAACCCAACATTTGAAACATCAATTTAAATACTTTTCGAAGTGAATTTGAAAAACTCATGAATTAAACTCAACTTTATTTTGTTCAAATTTGCATTTGCTGTAATAACCCAAATTGAGGAACATTCCCCATTTAATATATGCGAGTTTACGTTTAAGTGACTATGTTGGTTGAAGACGAATACTGTTGAATCCCTTTGAAATTTGAATTATTTGCTGCCCCCATACAAGGTAACTGATTTTATTATTTCCTTTATTTTTTTTTTGTCATATGGGAAATAAATTTATAGGCGTCTGTTTTGTTTATTGAAACTCTGTATTGATTTTTGCTAATGACCAATCGAACTCGACTTTCAGAGGTGACGTTGTTACTATGGAATGTGTCAGGAAGATCATTAAAAAGGATTACATCCACCCGTTGACGAATAAAAAATTATCCAAGAAAGACATCATCATAATGCAGAGGGTAAGTGCAACATTACAAATGCTCCCGAATTTATTCGGGAGCATTTTCCAGGTTGATACACCAGAAATATAACACTCGTCTTGACGCGCGTTTAACCGACCAAATGGAGTCTTTCTGGAAATGAAAAAACTCATCAAGGTGACGTCATAGAACCGCATCTGGTGTTTCAGATGTTCGATGGTTCGGCTTCGATTCTGCAGCCATTTTCAAGGTTTGACTACACTGAGGTGCCAATCTGCCTATTCCTCAGATAGTGAGACGCTTTAATGATTTTGTGGCTTGACGTCTGGGTCTCACTCTGCCTACTACCCAGGTCTCACCGCTGGTCTCCACAAACGTCTCAATCTGCCTACTCCCAAACGATCAGTCGATGATCTGGAGTAGCCAGATTATTGATAGTGATGCTTTATTCGCAAGAAACGTCATATGTTTATGATAGAGACTTATGCATGGTAGCTAACTGGAATTTCATAAACTATCTGGATTATAATGCTCCCAAAGCGTCTTCCACGATTTTTGTTGCAGGCAGCGACCTTTTACAACTATATATTTCCAGGTATCAATTCATTGATTATACATGGGTTCTACTTGTAAATCTATTGTTTTTTTTTTCGCAGTGGAATTTTATAGGATTGAGACCTTTGCGTCAGTTGACGCTTGGGAGTAGGCAAATGTAGACGTTTGTGAGACCTGGAGAGTAGGCAGATTGAGACCCAGGCGTCGAGTCACAAAACCCTTGAAGGGGGTAAAAGTCAATAATTGTTATTACATATCACATTTTACTATAGAGTTACTGAAGAAGAGGCTAAGTTAGGTAATCTCCAATTCGAATAATTTCTTGGGGTTGCAGTCAGTGATGGGTTTGATTATAAAAAACTCTTGGTTTGTGTCAAGCTTTCGGCACTGTTTAATGCCTTCCTCAGGTCAACTGAAAATGGTTGCCATGCATCTACTGGAATGTCACTGACACGATACACAAAAAATAAATTGTATAAGAAACTTTCAACTGACTGAAAATATTCTACAGAAATTAATTTATTTTATTTTTTTCAGGGAGGAACAGGGTATGCACATACGAATGATAAGTTGAGCGGGAAACAAGCTAGACCTGCTCTTCAAGCTTGAAAACTCTGAACTTTTTATTTATTCCCACTTGCTATTTGTTCTAAAATGTTTTAAAATTTGTTTAATAAAAAAATTCCTTCAATTTTATGGTTTTAGTCGTCCACTTACCTAATTTATTACAAAAGAAGTGTATTCATTAAAGTTTTTTCCTTCATAAGTTGAATCACATTTGTTCAAAAAAATCTGTTCAAAATCTGTTTTTCCGTTAACGAGCTGTCACACACCTACCATTGGCAACCCTAAGAAGTCAAAACTTGTGCGAGCTAAGGATTAACGAGGTCTTACCTTTTAACGTGTGATTCCTAACACGGATGAGTATGGAAACTGTATAATTTGTACTGATTTCAACTATAGATTTTATTGAAAATTGCTGCTACAATAAACTTATCTGAAATATCTAACTTGAACTTGCTCTTTAAGGGAACAACATGTATTTTTATGAATATTTTTTTAAATGTATCTCAACTGTAACTGTGTTGATGCAACGGTGTATTTTAATTTGAAATTTTGATTATTGTCAGTGTGTAAACTCGTATTCCTTTGAAAATGTTCTTGTTGGACGAAACTGCAGTATCTTTAGTTACAAATGCAAAGTGGTATCAAAACAGAAGTTTTAATTAAATTGATGGATGTAGCCGTGACTACGTAGTATATCATCATGAGAGATGAAACTTTCCATGTTTTTTTTACCACTTCTATTTGTAACTGACGTTACAGAAGTGTTGAAGTTCCATTTCTCATTTATCATGAAGTTTTAATTCTCATTTCTCATAACATTATTCATTTTAGTGGACAGATTTACACACTGTATGATAAAACTAACTCAAAACAGTTTAATGTTGTGGAGATCAATATGCTGGCCTTGAATGTGTAAATGTAGTTCAAATCCAACTTTTATCAAGTATGTGTTCTACTCAGAGGAAGTTCTGAGTCAGTTTCTGAGCTGCATCTTATATAACCAAAGAATATTATGAGATCTATCACAAAAGTTATATTTAGCATATACCAGGCCTATTTTCACATGAAAGTGAAAAAATTCGACAATTTCCTTGTTTGTTCTATGTAATTTGAGAATTGACACTTATTTCAAGAGATTAACAACTTCAATTTGATTCTTTAGAATTTCATAAGCACCTTCCAATGGTGAGGCCTTCACACATTCTATGAGTTAATATTTAAAGTGTTTTTTTTAATGTGAAATAAACCACACTGTTTTTATATTATGACTATAGTCTGATAAGCATCCATGCTATGACTTGAATAGAAATTAAAAGACGTATATAAAAAATATCAACATTTATTTTTTCAATTACAAACTATCACAGATAAATAAAAGTTCAGTCTTTATATACATAAATGATAGGAAAAAGAATTATGTATGAACACTTCAGAAGAATAATGTAACTAATTTAATCAACTTCTTCGATAGTTGGTCCAGATCGTCCACTTCCGAAACCGCCTGCTTGCTGTCCACAACTTCCTGGCATTCCATTGGACGCATTTCCTCCATACTGGTTGTTTTGTTGGCCCCCACTATAAAGTTTGGCCATGATGGGACTGCACATCGATGTTAACTGCTTCTGCTTGTCCTCATATTCTTCTTTCTCTGCCAAAGAGTTGCTATCCAGCCATTTCAGGCAACTTTCACATTCCCTTTCAATAGTAGACTTGTCTTCCGAAGACAATTTGTCTCCACAATCCTGAACAGCTTGTTTCAGTTGGAAGACGTAACCTTCCAACTGGTTTCTAGCTGCAAGTCTCTGTCGTTGGCGTTCATCTTCCTCCTTATATTTCTCAGCTTCCGCCAGCATTCTATCAATGTCTTTCTGTGACAGTCGACCCTTATCATTTTTAATGACTATGTTGCGGGAGTTGCCTGAACTGGTGTCTTTGGCAGATACATTTAGGATTCCATTAACGTCCAGATCGAAAGTTACCTCAATTTTTGGAACTCCACGGGGTGCGGGTGGAATTCCAGTCAAATCGAAGGTTCCAAGAAGGTTGTTGTCTTTCGTCATGGCTCTCTCACCTTCAAACACTTGTATGTTACTGCGGGTTGATTGTCTGCATAGGTGGTGAAGGTCTGCGATTGCTTGCATGGAATCCTGGCGTTGCGTTCAATGATTTTCGTCATAACTCCTCCTGCTGTTTCAATGCCAAGAGATAGCGGAGTGACATCTACAAGCAAGACATCCTGGATTTTCGAGTCTGTTTCACCGCTAAGAACAGCTGCTTGGACTGCAGCCCCATAGGCTACAGCTTCGTCAGGATTAATAGACAGATTCAACGACTTGCCATTGAAGTAATTCTGTAGAAGTTGTTGGATCTTTGGTATTCTGGTGGATCCTCCGACAAGGACTACATCATGAATCTGTCCCTTGTCCATTTTGGCGTCGTTCAAAGCTTTCTCAACTGGCTGCAGCGTCCCTCTGAACAGATCAGAACAGAGTTCCTCAAACCTGGCTCTGCTGATTTTGGTGTAGAAATCAATGCCTTCGAAAAGAGCATCAATTTCGATGGTTGCTTCTGTACTTGAAGAGAGTGTACGTTTGGCTCTCTCGGCTGCTGTCCTCAACCTGCGCAGAGACCTAGGATTGCTTCGGAGGTCCTTTCTGTATTTTCTCTTGAACTCATCTGCTAGATGATTGACTAGACGGTTATCAAAGTCTTCTCCACCAAGATGTGTGTCTCCTGCTGTAGCCCTCACTTCGAAAAGAGATCCTTCATCGATGGTCAAAATAGAAACATCAAAAGTGCCACCACCCAAGTCGAAGATGAGCACATTTCGTTCACCTTTCAAGTTCTTGTCGAGTCCGTATGCTAGAGCGGCTGCTGTTGGCTCATTTATAATCCTCAAAACGTTTAAGCCAGCAATAGCACCTGCATCCTTCGTGGCTTGCCTCTGGGAGTCGTTGAAGTAAGCTGGCACTGTTATAACGGCATCTCTAATCGAACTTCCCAAATACGCCTCTGCAGTTTCCTTCATTTTGGTCAACACCATAGAACTGATTTCCTCTGGAGAGAAAGTTTTCCTCTCTCCCTTGTGATCCACTTGAATTTTCGGTTTTCCACAGTCATTAACCACTTTGAAAGGCCAGTGTTTGATGTCCTGTTGGATTTTCGGGTCATCGAATTTACGGCCTATCAAACGTTTGGCATCGAAGACGGTGTTGCTCGGTCAAATAATTTTATTTAACAGGGCTCCTTCATATAAGTAACAACAATGTCGTCAATTAATCTTATAACTTGAAATTTGAGATAGCAAACCCCTCACACACACACTTCACATAGAATGTGAAGTGTGTGTAACATGTAAAAGTGATATTTATTTCCGGTAGAAACCATTTTTCTCAGAATATTTGTAGTCTAATATAGCCAGAACGTTATTGACAACCAGCTATTCAGTTGCGAAGATAGCTGGTTGCGAGGTTCAGACATAGAGTTTAATCATAAAAATTTAGTTATAACACGTACTTATCGAAGTTTTCTATGATTAGGATCCTTTATAGAAATCTTTAGTGCAGTTGGGTCGTACCCTAAATGACGACATTTGACAGTTTTCTAGCTTGTTCTAGAAAAGGTTTATTTTCATTATTGAAAATTTAGATAATCCAAAATGGAATGTGGGTATCAAGTAAATGTGAACAAGATGCTTGTAAATGTATGTTAAAAACCTGATCAGCAGGTCAAATATTTGTTTATCTTCAGTATTTTTTATCGCCAACTTTAGAGGTGTTTTCCTATAAGTGCTTGAATAAATTAATATGTTCTGCCATTCAATAATTACTGGAAGGAACAAAGTAAAATACTTTAGAAAATTACAGAAGAATTCAAACAATTTTGAACGTATTTACTTAACAGTAATTACAACAACCTATAATTTTTTTAACTCGTTAAAGAGTGTTCAAAAGCTAATTGATCTAAAGTATCATCGCCTGTTGAGAACGTTTGAAAATAAAACGAATTGAAGAAAAACACTGCAAGTTACATTAATAATAACAATAATACACATTATTTTTCTTTGCAAAAAGTACTTTGAATTCACGAAGTAATCGGGGTGAATGAAAAAAGTTTGCTTTTTGTACAGCTGTCTTAATTTCTCCATCACAATTTTATTTTTTTAGAACTATAGAAGGTGAAAATTTCCAGAAAAATCGATCAAAAATTGTTACCATACATTTCTAAGTTTTGTATAAAATATGCAGACCTATATATGTTCTCCATGTTTGAAACTTTGGAGCTTTTCATCTGTTGCATTAAACATGCTTTGTTTCATTTTCAGATGCTTCAGGAACTTCACTCATATCGAACATGGCGGCAGGAAAAGACAAGGTGCTTCCAAGTTTTTGGGTTCCTTTCAAAACGTCTAGAAAAATAAAACATAGAAAAACCTGTGAGTGTCCAGATTTCCAATATTTTATTCCTAATTTCCAAGAATAATTTCAGAAATATCTTTACCATAATCAACTGTATGAATTTACTCATATTCATATCATATCAAGGACCCGTTAATTTACTGTTTCATATCTCAGAAGCCTTTCAAAGCCAAGGATTTAATTGATGTCAAATTTACCCTCATATCCTGATAACAAGAAATCCATATACACGAGAGAAAATAGATACATGTATGCTGTCACCCACGACATTTTGAGCAGTTCTGTTCCCTGCGCTGTTCTGATACCAATGTAAGTAAGAGTAACGAGAAAGAAAAGAGAGATTTTGAAATTTGAGACATTAATTCACTCTAAAAGGTAAGGAATTGCAAAAGGGCCAATAATTTTTATTATTTGTTTCTTGAAAATTATGACTTTTAACTCAAAATTTTTACTTCAAACTGGAAATTTTAACTTTAAGCTGGAAATTTTGACTTTAAACTGGAAATTTCGACTTTAAACTAGAAATTTCGACTTTAAACTGGAAATTTCGACTTTAATCTTCGACTAATCTCACATTGTTGACTTCAACCTCGTTATTTTGAAATTTTGACTTTTTACTCGAAATTTTGTCTTTCAACTGAAAATTACTACATCATGAAATGTTGGAGTTCAAACTCCAAATTACGAGATTGAAGTTATAATTTTGAACTTACGAGATCAAAGTAAAAATTTGGAGAGAGAGAGAGAGAGAGTAAAGTCAAAATTTCGAGTTCCAAAATTTCCAAAAAACAATGAAAATATGTGGGTCTTCTACGCTTCCGTAAAAACATGACCTTTGATGAATGAGTTTTTAAAACGGATGACTTTATTCCAGAACTCTTGAATTAAGACAATTCAAGATGTTGAAAATTGATGTTTGTTGTTGTCTCAAGTTTCATAAGTTTCCAAGATTGCATTGAAAACTTATTGGAATCACACATTCATGAATTGACACTGTGGTGTTCTCCACGGTTCTCTTCTTGGACCCCTGAGCCTGAGTCAAATAGGGTATTTGTACAATAAAGATATTGAACTCCAGTGTCGGATACATCGGAAGTATATAAGTTGACTTGCGGTTCCTGTTCTACATTTTAAATTGGCGATACTGGAAGAACTTTCTCCAAAAGAATAAAAGAGCATAGAAGTAGTTTTTTGACCAATTCAGCATTTACGAATCATCTTTGGATAGAGAGACACCAGTTCAATCACAATTATGACGTATTGCATTTGGAGAAGGGTTCAAAACTCAAACTTTTGGAGTGTTTAGAAATCAATACATGTAAAAATTCAGGATTTTTGATTAATGATGAAATTGATTCGAATTGCTTCGTTTTATTGGAGTCAGCCTGCAACAAAGAAATTGGTTACTGCGATAGATTTTAAAATTAGGCAAAATGGGGTCTCAAATAAAACATGTATTCATTTTCATTCATTTTAATGATTTGTTCCTAGACAAATAACGAAACGCTTTTGTTGAATCTAGTTTGAAATGACGAGCAAAATTTATTTTCAAAATAGCCTAATTCTTGACAACAAAATTTGTTTGTTTTGAGTTCAGAACTAAACTTTTTTCTTTGAATTTACTCAAATGAGGTGAGAATAAAAGTTTCGGTTGAAGTTGAATTTATTAATTGTGAGTTTACGTTGAGTGAAATTCGAATTATTCCAATCCTTTGCTGTCCCATATAAGGTAACTGATTTTATTATTTCCATTACTTAGATTTTTTTTTGTTATATGGAAAATAACTTCATTGATGCCTGTTTTATTTAATGAAACTGAATTAGTTTTTGCTAATGACCTATTGTACTCAACTTTCAGAGGTGACGCTACTATGGAATATGTCAGGAAGATCATCAAAAAGGATTACATCCACCGGCTGATGAATAAAAAAATATCCAAGAAAGACATCATCATATTTCAGAGGGTAAGTGCAACATTACATTGTTTTTCATAACCAAATTCATTCGGGAGCATTTTCCATTCTATTCTAAAGAAATATAACATAAACATGATGGAGAATCATGCATATTATTTCTAAGTGCAATTTCAGAAACTATCTGAATTATAATGCTACCAAAGTGTCTTTCACGATCTTTGTTGCAGCGATCTCTTACATCTATATATTTCCAGCTATCCCATTGATTATACATGGGTTCTACTTCAAAATCAATTGATTTTTTTTACAATGAAATTTTAGGATTGAGACCTTTGCGTCAGTTGACGCTTGGGAGTAGGCAGATTTAGACGTTTGTGGAGACCAGTGATGAGACCTGGAGAGTAGGCAGAATGAGACCCAGGCGTCAAGTCACAATACTTTTGAAGCTAGTAAAAGCTAACAATTGTTTTTATATCATACCTCACTGAACTATTAGAGTTCCTGAAGAAGAGGCTAATCTCCAATCTCGTGCTTTAGAGAATATAACTATTTCTGTAGCCAAAGACATTTAAGAATATATCTGGAACATTCTCAGGTTACATTAATTTATATTGAGTGAATGATGGTTAGTTTATTATACTTTTAAGATTTTACAATCCTTTGTTAGCAGATTGTTATTTGGTTAATTTTTTGGGGTTGCAGTCGATGATAAAGTTTGATTATAGAAAACTCCTGGTTTTTGTCAAGTTTTCGGCACCGTTTAATGCCTTCCTCAGGTCAATTGAAAATGGTCCCCATGCGTCTACTTGAATGTCACTCACCCGATACACAAAAGATAAAGTGTACAACAAACTTTCAACTGACTAGAAAATATTCTACAGAAATTAATTAATTAATTTATTTCAGGGAGGAACAGAGTATGCACCTACGAATGACAAGTTGAGCGGGAAACAAGCTAGGCCTGCTCTTCAAGCTTGAAAACTCTGAACTTTTTATTTATTCCCACTTGCTATTTGTTCTTAAATGTTTTGAAATTTGTTCAATAAAAACCACCTTCAGTTTTATGGTTTTAGTAGTCACCTAACCTAATTTATTCCAAATGAAATGTTTTCATCAAAGTTTAATTCCTTGATGAGTTGAATCACATCTTGAACTATTCATTGGATAAGTATGGAAACTGTATAATTTGTAGTGGTTATAATATAGATTTTATGGAAAATCACTGCTACAAAAAACTTATTTTGAAATAGTTAACTTGAACTTTCTCTATAACATGGCAACATGTATTATTATTTATTATGAATATTTAAAAAAATGTTTCTCAACTCTGTTTGTTGATGTAACAGTGTACTTTAATTTGTAACTTTGATCATTGTTGGTGAAAATAACAATGAGAATTGACTTTTTGAGGCCCTATCTCCGAAGGCTCAACACATTCAATTTCAAATATTCCAGAAAAGTTGATAAATTAATCTTGAACCTGTTCAACACTGTATTGTGAAGAATATTCGTTAAGCCTTGCTTTTCTTTTTTTATTGTTTTGCAACTTTCATTATTTGAATACAAATTTTAGAATGTGAGAATGAACTAAACATTTTTTGGTTGATTCTGGGTGTAATTTCTTTAATTTTTTATTTCTGTTTTCCAATAAAGGACAACAATTGTTGGGCAATGAACATTAATATTGAAATATATTACTCCTCCTGCTGTTTCAATGCCAAGAGATAGCGGAGTGACATCTACAAGCAAGACATCCTGGATTTTCGAGTCCGTTTCACCACTTAGAACAGCTGCTTGGACTGCAGCCCCATAGGCTACAGCTTCGTCAGGATTGATAGACAGATTCAACGACTTGCCATTGAAGTAATTCTGTAGAAGTTGTTGGATCTTTGGTATTCTGGTGGATCCTCCGACAAGGACTACATCATGAATCTGTCCCTTGTCCATTTTGGCGTCGTTCAAAGCTTTCTCAACTGGCTGCAGCGTCCCTCTGAACAGATCAGAACAGAGTTCCTCAAACCTGGCTCTGCTGATTTTCGTGTAGAAATCAATGCCTTCGAAAAGAGCATCAATTTCAATGGTTGCTTCTGTGCTTGAAGAGAGTGTACGTTTGGCTCTCTCAGCTGCTGTCCTCAACCTGCGCAGAGACCTAGGATTGCTTCGAAGGTCCTTTCTGTATTTTCTCTTAAACTCGTCTGCTAGATGATTGACTAGACGATTATCGAAGTCTTCTCCACCAAGATGTGTGTCTCCTGCTGTAGCCCTCACTTCGAAAAGAGATCCTTCATCGATGGTCAAAATAGAAACATCAAAAGTGCCACCACCCAAGTCGAAGATGAGCACATTTCGTTCACCTTTCAAGTTCTTGTCGAGCCCGTATGCTAGAGCGGCTGCTGTTGGCTCATTTATAATCCTCAAAACGTTCAAGCCAGCAATAGCACCTGCATCCTTCGTGGCTTGCCTCTGGGAGTCGTTGAAGTAAGCTGGCACTGTTATAACGGCATCTCTGATCGAACTTCCCAAATACGCCTCTGCAGTTTCCTTCATTTTAGTCAACACCATAGAACTGATTTCCTCTGGAGAGAAAGTTTTCCTCTCTCCCTTGTGTTCCACTTGAATTTTCGGTTTTCCACAGTCATTAACCACTTTGAAAGGCCAGTGTTTTATGTCCTGTTGGATTTTCGGGTCGTCGAATTTTCGGCCTATCAAACGTTTGGCATCGAAGACGGTGTTGCTCGGGTTCATCGCCACCTGGTTTTTGGCAGCATCTCCGAGGAGACGCTCCGTGTCTGTGAAGGCAACATAGCTAGGTGTCGTTCTGTTACCTTGGTCGTTGGCGATGATCTCCACTTTTCCATGCTGCCACACTCCCACACAGGAGTATGTTGTTCCCAAGTCGATACCAACTGCTGGAGCTTTAACCATTTTTGTTTCACTCGTTGAACTTTTCACTGAATAATACTTTGAACTGTATATCGCCTAAAATAGTCACTTGACAGTAAAGTAATCGCTTGTGTTACTTCGCACTTGTTTCTCTCTCGATCGCTTTATTTGAATTGACTGAACTCCCGCTCGTTCTGCCTCTTTATATATGAACTTCAATTTCGACTCGAACTTTCTCGAAGCTTCTCACGAACGACATCGAATAACCGTTTGGTAGGAGAACTTTTCTAGAATGGCCGCCATCAGAAGTTCGAAGGGTGTTCCTCAATTGCACTGATGCATATGAAACGAATAAGTTTAGAATTAATGTGAAGTATTTTTTTGTTATTGAAATTGCCCACACTTACTACTACACAAATAGGTTAGTTCCGGCAATTAATTCATTTTCAACAATTTAATGAATTCTCTGAATAAATAAATTTATGACCAAAGAAATAAAGAATATATTATGTCACATCTTGACGAAAGTTAGTAAAGGTATTGAAAATAAATAAAATTTTGAGAATCAATACTCAATTTGCCCAGATGAATTACTGCGTTTACATTTCCATATTTGATATATTTACACAGCTTCCATATGCACTGAATCAATTTGTAGTATCACGCAAAATGAATTCAGTCGAACTATATTGAAAATAACTTTGAATAAACTGACGCGTCAATCAATAACACTCTCATGGATAATAACTAACAAATTTTCACATTCAGAACGTTATTCAAAACGTTATTTCACCACATAGTAGCTTCTTCAGTTTTATTGGTTAACGATTGTATTTTTTAAAGACAAAACACAAGCACTACAGGAAAATCCTTAAGGCGCTCTCAGAGCGGTGCCTGTGCTAAAGTAGCTATACACATTGGATTTGAATCGGTGGACTTTAAAACCCTAAAAATAGGTTTCACACATCAAAAGAATATGTTAAAACGAGTTGCTACCAAGCATTCACACTAGGCTTTGTTTTCTCTTTGATAGTAACTGATAACTTTTGATTTATATTTTGGAAAACTGTAACTGAGCTACTCGCAATATTGATGACATATTTCTTATATCGGAAATTCATTTTTCCTTCTGGATGCTTTCCTATCGAGGACAATCATTAGAGCAATTGAGCGTTGCCCTCACTTCAAATAACATTATTGATCGCTTGCTCAAATGGTGACATCGGGAATGTTCGAGATAAACTTGGAACACAAAATACGTTTATTACTCTGTGTCTGGAATACGGGGGAAGCGAAAAAGTAGTGGATTTTTTTAAAGAAGTACTTATTCCAGAATTATTTTTGTTCTATATGGTGTATGCATGCTACAATTCCAGAATTATTTTTTGTTCTATATGTTCATTTCGAATGAAGTAGACTAATTTTCAACCCTAAACTTGACCTTTATTGGGTACGGTGGGTCCGCTTTTACACACATTAATTTCAAGTAGAAATTTGCGGGAAATTTTTCTCGTGAAAATGCCCCTTAATTTTAACAGAATGATTCATTCAGTGGATTGTATGTAATTGGACCTTTTTTGTTACTGTTAACAGTTTTCATGCTTCTTATTTGCTATACTAATAACTTCCTTAGACGTATTCGAATGATTTTACAAAATACGTCAAATGCTGTCTTTACAAAATATTATTTCATTTCTTTTTAAGTGCCTAAGATTTCTATTGATTGACATATTTCTGAAGATTGCTTTAAAAGTAGGTAGTCTTTAGACATATCTCACAAAATTTTCAATATTGAGAGTGTCGAATATTGAAAATGTTTTGGGAAAAACCATTTTGATTCCTTACTCTTGCATCAATATATGATAATCATAAACGGGAAAATTCTGAGGAAAAACAAAGAATTAAAATATTTTCAACTCAGGGTATGAAATCTCTGTTACTAGGTATAAGAGAACCTTATAATATTTTTTTTAAGGTTTTCACTTTGTATTTCAATGTTTTTGTGATATGACTGATTTTCCTGTATCTAAAGAAAACACTTCTCACACCGGAACGAAAACACTGTCTCTCTAAGTGTGTTTCGTTAGCCAAGATAGCATCATCAGATGATGGATTTATATATAATCTCATTTAACCCCAGAGATTTCAAATCCACCAATCAAATACGTGAATAATCAATAATAAGTACACAGTTTTTCCGAAAGTAGGTTTTCATACACGTGTTTATAGTATTTAGTGACGTTACTGAAATTCTAGACAATTCTCAGTACGTCGGTTGATTTACCTGACTGTAAAATCTCCCGAATATTCTCGAGCCGGAGTTCGGTTTGCATATAATTCAGAATAAATCAATAAATGTGAGGGTACGACTCAATTGCACAGATGACTAGTCTCTGAGATCGTTAGAGATTAGAAACGATTCAATAAGGACGTGTGAGGGAATTAAATTAATTCAACTGTTCACAAGCATATAAACAAAACAACAAACAATATTTTGAGGCTTTTGAAATATAGCACAAGACATGTATCTAATTAAAAAGTATCTCATCATATAATTTGTCCATCTAAACAAGGGAGTGCTCCATAACATTATCATGCATAGTGCATGTGATCTCCCAGACAAGGCTGCTTATACAGAGTCGCACTAAAGAACGACCGATATTGTTTTTAATAATATGCGCCTGGGTGTAGAATTATTTTTTAGGTGGAGTGTAGGGACACAAATTAGCTGTTTCTTCAGCCGTATCAGTACTTTACATTTTGAAAATTTTAAACTTTGAAATACCGTATATGTAAACACAACAGGCGTTACAACGTAACTGACCACTTCGACATTGTAACATAAATTCCATCAGCCGATTGCAGATGAGTCTGATTGGCCGGCATGAGGAGGCTTCTTTATTTCAACCAATACATGCGACTGTGCATGGTGATCATGCTTTGATCACGTATCTATCTTTGTTTGGGTTACTGTGTTCGTTGGATGGATATAGTTTAGTTCCGAAAAATTGTGCTTATTACTCCTGCATGCCGTTTTATGATAATTTACTAATTATTTTTGAGGACAATATAGTGATTTTAAGAAAGTAAAACCTCTTCCTAAAACTCTTGTAAATTTACAGACTGGGTTCACAAGTTCACTCAGACTATGCTAAGTTAATAAAATCTAAATTACTTGTTCTATTGGCAACAATTGACGGACTTATTAATACATTGTTGTCCTCGTCGATTGTTATCAAATGATTCATCGTGTGAATCAGAAGTTGTTCTAGAAATCATGATCAAAAACTAAAAAAGAACATAAATTGAACTTGTTACACTTATTGTTACAATATATACTGTAATATATTGTTCAAAAATCATATAGTCTATTTAAAAAGAGTACTGATTTAAAAAAAAATTGCACTTCGTTCAATCCTTGCTAAGAGCGTACGTTAAAAGGTGAGACCTGGTTAATTCTCAGCTCGCACACGTATCTATTTCTGAGGGTTGTCGTTTGTAAGGAGCCGACAAGGTTGAAGTGAAAGCGTTTCGCTTGTAAATAATCCCAGAACTTATTGATGTGAGTCACAACTGTCATCATCTGGCTCACCCTTAATAATTCGAGCAGTAATTGTTTAAATGAAGTATCTGTGAAACGTATTCACAAATTAAATAGTACATACTTTGTTGAAGCTCGTCAAGCTGCCAACAAACTATTAATTTAATAAGAGTACAATATTAAATTACAGATTCAGAGAGTGTATTAATTTTTTCGTACATTATACAGCTTTTATTTATAAAACATTGTGGTTCTCGTTGTGATCTGATTCTAAAACCTGTTCAAACCTCCGCAATCCAAGCGATTAAGCGATTATTTATCAATACGGGATATCTTCTATGAAAAAGTCCCCCCCCAAGATTACTTACAGCACAGTTCGAAGTACCTCTGTGCAGTTGAGGAACGACCGAATGAAAATTCTAGAGATAACAGTCTAGAACGCATGTTGTATGTTTCACGGTGGGTTCCTCGTTCCACATTGTTCGGAGAAGCTTCGAGAAAGTTCGGGTCGATTTTGCCATTCATATATAAGCAGGCGGAATGAGCGGGACTTCAGTGAATTCAAATCAAGCGATAGAAGAAGAAGCAAGTGCGAAGTAGTACAAGCGATTACTTTATTGTCAAGTGACTATTTCAAGTGAAATACAGTTTGAAGTATTATTTAGTGAAAAGTTCAACGAGTGAAATAAAAATGGTTAATGCTCCAGCAGTTGGTATCGACTTGGGAACGACATACTCCTGTGTGGGTGTGTGGCAGCATGGAAAAGTGGAGATCATCGCCAACGACCAAGGTAACAGAACGACACCCAGCTATGTTGCCTTCACAGACACGGAGCGTCTCCTCGGAGATGCTGCCAAAAACCAGGTGGCGATGAACCCGAGCAACACCGTCTTCGATGCCAAACGTTTGATAGGCCGTAAATTCGACGACTCGAAAATCCAACAGGACATAAAACACTGGCCTTTCAAAGTGGTTAATGACTGTGGAAAACCGAAAATTCAGGTGGAACACAAGGGAGAGAGAAAAACTTTCTCTCCAGAGGAAATCAGTTCTATGGTGTTGACTAAAATGAAGGAAACTGCAGAGGCGTATTTGGGAAGTTCGATCAGAGATGCCGTTATAACAGTGCCAGCTTACTTCAACGACTCCCAGAGGCAAGCCACGAAGGATGCAGGTGCTATTGCTGGCTTAAACGTTTTGAGGATTATAAACGAACCAACAGCAGCTGCTCTAGCATACGGACTCGACAAGAACTTGAAAGGTGAACGAAATGTGCTCATCTTCGACTTGGGTGGTGGCACTTTTGATGTTTCCATATTGACCATCGATGAAGGATCTCTATTCGAAGTGAGGGCTACAGCAGGAGACACACATCTTGGTGGAGAAGACTTTGATAACCGTCTAGTCAATCATCTAGCAGATGAGTTCAAGAGAAAATACAGAAAGGACCTCCGAAGCAATCCTAGGTCTCTGCGCAGGTTGAGAACAGCAGCCGAGAGAGCCAAACGTACACTCTCTTCAAGTACAGAAGCAACCATCGAAAGTGATGCTCTTTTCGAAGGCATTGATTTCTACACCAAAATCAGCAGAGCCAGGTTTGAGGAACTCTGTTCTGATCTGTTCAGAGGGACGCTGCAGCCAGTTGAGAAAGCTTTGAACGACGCCAAAATGGACAAGGGACAGATTCATGATGTAGTCCTTGTTGGAGGGTCCACCAGAATACCAAAGATCCAACAACTTCTACAGAACTACTTCAATGGCAAATCGTTGAATCTGTCCATTAATCCTGACGAGGCTGTAGCCTATGGGGCCGCAGTCCAAGCAGCTGTTCTTAGCGGTGAAACAGACTCGAAGATCCAGGATGTCTTGCTTGTAGATGTCACTCCGCTATCTCTTGGCATTGAAACAGCAGGAGGAGTCATGACGAAAATCATTGAACGCAACGCCAGGATTCCATGCAAGCAATCGCAGACCTTCACCACCTATGCAGACAATCAACCCGCAGTAACTATACAAGTGTTTGAAGGTGAGAGAGCCATGACAAAAGACAACAACCTTCTTGGAACCTTCGACTTGACTGGAATTCCACCCGCACCTCGTGGGGTTCCAAAAATTGAGGTAACTTTCGATCTGGATGTTAATGGAATCCTAAATGTATCTGCCAAAGACACCAGTTCAGGCAACTCCCGCAACATAGTCATTAAAAATGATAAGGGTCGACTGTCACAGAAAGACATTGACAGGATGTTGGCCGAAGCTGAGAAATATAAGGAGGAAGATGAACGCCAACGACAGAGACTTGCAGCTAGAAATCAGTTGGAAGGTTATGTCTTCCAACTGAAACAAGCTGTACAGGATTGTGGAGACAAATTGTCTTCAGAAGACAAGTCTACTATTGAAAGGGAATGTGAAAGTTGCCTGAAATGGCTGGATAGCAACTCTTTGGCAGAGAAAGAAGAATACGAAGACAAGCAGAAGCAGTTAACATCGATGTGCAGCCCCATCATGGCCAAACTTTATAGTGGGGGCCAACAAAACAACAACCAGTATGGAGGAAATGCGTCCAATGGAATGCCTGGAAGTTGTGGACAGCAAGCAGGCGGATTCGGAACTGGAAGATCTGGACCAACTATTGAAGAAGTTGATTAAGTTTAAAAGCTTTTATACAATAAGTACTCAATTTTTACAGTATTTTTAAATAGAAAGTTCCTCATTATTTATTTACACAAAGACTGATTTATTTTTTGTTACATGTTATTGTGTATGTTGTATAATAAATGTTATTTTTTATAATTCTTGTGAACTTTTTCTTATCCTTGCTACAAGATGTTAGCATACTCTGTATCAGACATTGAAACGTTGGTAAATGAGATAATCGAGAAGTATTTCTTTGAAATTGCTGGTTTAAAAGAAGTAGAAAGAACATTTTTTTAAATACATTTACATCAGCTCTCAATAATATCAATTATTTTTCAAAGGAACAAACTTAACGATTTCATGAACCAAAAATCCAGTGGAGAAATCTGAAATTTTTGAAATTAGTAGTCAACAGAATAATCATCTATTGAGTTCTTTCTCTGTGTCAAAATATAAGAAAGAAGTTTTCTCTCGAAATCAATTTATATTAAAGTCAACTGAAAATTTCATTGGTAGGAATCCTGCTGTAATTGAAGTATTTAATATTCCCTCTTTTCAAACTGGGATCACAAGTCAAACAAAAATCCTCATTTATATCTAGTTTTTATTGTAATCAATATAAATAAAATGTAGTGAATATTCAATAAAAACTGCCCTTTCGTCCTCGTAAATTGGTACTCGAGCTCCTCTAAAAATATAACAGAATTTCAAAATATCGCCCATCCACGAGTCAGAGGAGACAGTTTTTATTCAATATGTTGTTGTAAAAGTAGTACATTCCATTATAGGGGTACATATTCTGCTGTTCTAACAGATAGATACATTAACATAAATAATTTTAAACATTCATGGTGTACCTTGCACAATGATAAGATTGTGTGAAGGTTGCAATATTTGTGGTTTCAGCTGATATCTGAACTTGTATGATCCATTTTTTTTTTTCAGTTGAAAATAAAAATCAAAAGGATTAGTTTATGACCCTCTTTCGACTTTGAACTAAATCAATCATAAGCTTTGAATTTCTCCAAGTAAAATTAGTGTGGTCAATACTAGTTTTGACATAGGAACATTTTTTTTCTGTAATGTTGAATCAAACTTATTCATTTATAAACTAGAATTCAACTTTACCATCTGGTGTAGATCAGTTTTTTATGATTAGTAAGTTTTTTGCATGATATAATTTTTCTACACTAATATTTATGCACTGGGAATAATCTTGAACACTGCAAACACATCATAAAAAACGAATCTGGAAGAAAAATTGTGAAATAGAGAGGTTCTATATATCATAAATTTTCAAAATTGTTGAAACCCTCAAAAAGTAGTGACATGAGTTACGTTTCTGATGGCCTGTATCAGGAACAGGAAACTTAATTTTGATTCAACTCTTCAATGACTCGTCTACATAGATTTTTTTAATTTCTGTTTGAAATTGTAATTTCGTGTTGAAAGGTCGAAATTTTACATTCAAAGTGGTAATTTTGAGTCAAGAAGTCGAGATTTAAGTCGTAATGTTCAGTTAAATTGTCAAAATTTCAAGATTAAAGTCGTAATATTGAGTTGAAATGTCGAAATTTCGAGATTAAAGTCGTAGTTTTGAGTTGAAAAGTCGAAATTTCGAGATAAAAGTCGTAATATCGAGTTAAAAAGCGAAATTTCAAGTCGTAACATTGAGTTAAAATGTCCAAATTTCAAGAATAAAGTCGTAATATTGAGTTGAAATGCCAAAATGTTAAGATTAAAGACGAAATTTCAAGTAAAGAAGTCGAAATTTCGAGATTAAAGTCGTAATATTGAGTTAAAAAGTCGAAATTTAGAGAATAAACCCGTAATTTCAAGTTGAAAAGTCGAAATTTCAAGATTATAGTCGTAATATCGAGTTAAATAGTTGAAATTTCAAGATTTAAGTCGTAATATTGAGTTAAAATGTCGAAATTTCGAGATTGAAGTCGAAATTTTGAGTTGAAAAGTCGAAATTTTGATATGAAAGTTGTAATTTTGAGTTGAAACATCGAAATTTCAAGGTTAAATTCGTAATATTGAGTTGAAATGTCGAAATTAAGGTCGTAATTTCGAGTTGAAAAGTTGAAATTTCGAGATTAAAATCATAATATTCAGTTGAAATGTCAAAATTTTGAGATTAAAGTTGTAATTTCGAGTTGAAAAGTCGAAATATCGAGATTAAACTCGTAATTTCGAGTCGAAAAGTCGAGATTTAAGTCTTAATTTCGAGTTGAAAAGTCTAAATGAGATTTAAGTCGTAATATCTAGTTGAAAAGACGGAATTTTAAATTTCAAGGGAGAATTTCAAGTTAAAAAGTCGAAATTTCGAGATTTAAGTCTTAATTTCGAGTTGAAAAGTCGAAATTTCGAGACTTAAGTCTTAATTTCGAGTTGAAAAGTCGAAATTCGAGATCAAAATCGTAATTTTAAATTTCAAGTGAGAATTTCAAGTTGAAACGAAATTTCGAGACTTAAGTCTTAATTTCGAGTTGAAAAGTCGAAATTTCGAGATTTAAGTCTTAATTTCGAGTTGAAAAGTCGAAATTTCGAGATTTAAGTCGTAATATCTAGTTGAAAAGGCGGAATTTTAAATTTCAAGGGAGAATTTCAAGTTAAAAAGTCGAAATTTCGAGATTGAAGTCGTAATTTTTAGTTGAAAACTCGAAATTTCAAATTTAAAGTCGTAGTTTTCAGTTAAAAAGTCAGAATTTCGAGATCAAAATCGTAATTTTAAATTTCAAGTGAGAATTTCAAGTTGAAAAGTCGAAATTTCGAGATTAATGCCGTAGTTTTGAGTTGAAAATAAGTAATTTCGAGTTTCAAGTTGTGATTCCGAGTTAAAAAGTCAAAATCCGAGTTAAAAAGTCAAAATCCGAGTTTTTAGTCGTAATTTCGAGTTAAAAAGTTGAAATTTGAGGGCGAAACTTCGAGATTTAGGTCGTCATTTAGAAATTACGAGATAAAAGTCGTAATTTTTGGTTAAAAAGTCGAAATTTCGAATTTAAAGTCGTGATTTTGAGTTAAAAAGTAAGAATTTCGCGATTGAACATTAAAAAGACAGAATTTCGAGTTCAAAGTCATAATGTCGAGTGAAATTTCGGAATTAAGCCCGAAATTTCGAGGTTTGTCGATATTGAATCTCCTTTTTTACCGAAACAAAAGTTCCCGAATAGCTTTTTAGAAGTGACCACCTTGTGCGTGAAACCAGAAATATTACAAGTTCCCGAGTACGAAATTTCTGTATTATTTTTGTACAAAACAGACCCTTAAAATTAACATAAACAATTTTCATCACAGATTCACTATAATTATTTCCTAGAATGTATTAAATGTTACGAGAATATTAAAAAATCTGTACAAGTCTTTATCCTAATTGCAATCATAAAATAAGACGAATTTTACCTTAACATTAATCAGGTTTTCATGTATTGTATATATTTTTGAATATATAACACTGAATCAACACCGTCCACACATATATATTTCTTTAAAAATTCCTAGTCAAGTCTTTGTGTGTGGGAGACGTTACATCCTTAAGTATGGCCTTAATCAATCAGTCTCTTTGAATATTACACATTACTCGAATTTTTAATCAGTTGGTCGTGCTGATATATTGACATTTCAAATTGTTTCTGCAAGAAAAATATCGGGAACAGCAAATACGGCTTTTTGTGAAAAGGTGATTCACGAAATTCGATGTTTTCTGTTACATTGTATGTATATGATGATTACTGTACAACTCTCAATGATTTCATAGGTGGGGAATACCGATACGATACATTGATACCATCGAAAAAAAACCTATGTAAAAAAACGCAACAAAAGATGTCTAAAAACCTTGGTCCAAAAGTACTGTACTTTTTCAATGCTGAAATTTCAACTATCCCTTCATATGTGCCTATGTGTTCTTTGCTGATGCCTAAAGCACCTTGGACATTATTTAGAATATCTACATCTTTTCATCTAGCAGATGTCTCCTTACAAGCAGACTGCTTGTAAGTTGTACCGTTTCCTTACTTCTTGTAAGCAGATATTTCATCTGCTTCTGAACAAATATTATCAACCACGTCTGCTTGTAAGCAGATGTCATCGTGTTCCCTATCAAGTATTCATGTTGGCTACAAGTTCAATCATACCTTTGTGTAAGTAAAATGCTTGTTAACAGATATCCAGGATATTTGAGCAGATGTCAATCATATCTGCTTGTGAGCTGACATTATCTATCACATTCTCATTAATCACATCTGCTTGCAAACAGACATTATTCTACTCTGTTTGATAGTATCTGCAAGTGCAATCATACCTTTGTGTAAGTAGAATGCTTGTTAATAGCTAGCCCATGATGTCTAAGCAGACGTCAATCATATCTGCTTGTAAGCTGACATCGATCACATTCTCATGTAAGCAGATTCATTAATCATGTCTGCTTGCAGACATATATTATTCTAGTTTGTTTGATAGTAGCTGCAAGTGCAATCATACCTTTGTGTAAATAGAATGCTTGTTAACATCTAGCCATGATATCTAAGCAGACGTCAATCATATCTGCTTGTAAGCTGACATTATAGATCACATTCTCATGTAAGCATATTCATTTATCATGTCTGCTTGTAGACAGATATTATTCTAGTCTGTTTGATAGTAGCTGCAAGTGCAATCATACCTTTGTGTAAGTAGAATGCTTGTTAACAGCTAGCCATGATATCTAAGCAGACGTCAATCATATCTGCTTGTAAGCTGACATTATCGATCACATTCTCATGTAAGCAGATTCATTAATCATGTCTGCTTGCAGACAGATATTCTAGTCTGTTCGATAGCAGGCATCATTAATTAAGTCTGTTTGTGACCAGATGCCCAGTGTTTTACACCTTGTAAGCATACGTGATCATCCTGGCTTCTTGTTAACACAGATATTCAATCACATTTATTTCTGAGCAGCTGTTATAAACCACGTCAGCTTGTAAGCAGATGTCATCATGTTCGCTTACAAGTATTCACGTCAGCTGAAAGTACAATCATGTGCTAATGTGAGCAAATAATATCAACATGGCCTGCTTGTTAGCAAATAGTAATATTATTAATCACATTCTCTTGTAAGAAGATCTACTGATCATGTCTGTTTGTAAGCAATTGTTATCGATCATATATGCTTATGATTACATAGACTTTCAACATACGTAGCAATAAGCAGATGTTATCAATCAGGACTATTTAAGCAGATGTAAGCAGACTTCAATCTCGTCTAATTGTAAGCAGTTGTTATCAATTATACTTTTTGAGTAGACATACAAATGAATTTATAAACTGATAAATAAATCACCTCTACTTTGAGCTTATATAAGCAGAATTGAATCACTTCTGATTGTAAGCAGACTGTATCGATTCATGAATTGATTTGTAAGTAGTTGTTATCAATTATATATACTCTTTCAGAGATGTTAGAAATCACTTTATGAAATGATGAATAAATCACATCTACTTTGAGCATATGTAAGCAGAATTAAATCACGTTTGATTGTAAGCAAACTATAATTGATTTATGAATTGATTTGTAAGAGTTGTTATCAATTATATATACTCTTTCAGCAGATGTTACAAATCATTTTATGAATTGATGAATAAATCACATCTACTCTGAGCATATGTAGGCAGAATTAAATCACGTCTGATTGTAAGCAGACTGTAGTATGTCAAACAATAAAGTATATTTGATTGATTGAGTGATTGTAATCAATTTACGAAATGATTTGTGAGCAGTTGTTATCAATTATATATTGTCTTTCAGCAGATGTTACAAATCATTTTAAGAATTGATAAATGAATCACCTCTACTTAGAGCATATATAAGCAGAATTAAATCACGTCTGATTGTAAGCAGACTGCAATCGATTTATGAATTGATTCGTTATTGAGTATAAATACTCTTTCAGCAGATGTTGCAAATTATTTTATGAATTGATGAATAAATCACATCTACTTTGAGCATATGTAAGCAGAATTGAATCACGTCTGATTGTAAGCAGACTGTAATCAATTTATAAACTGATTTATAACGTCTGCTTATGTTTATGAACAGACTTTATAAATCAGTGATTAACATCTGCTTGAATGTGATTTACAATGTCTGCTCACGAGCAGATGAGATTGAGATCTGCTTACAAGTAGGCAGGAAAAAGATCGTGTTGATAACGTCTGGTTACATCTGTTTGAATTTGATGTCGAAGATAATATCTGCTTACAAGCTGACGTTGTTGATAACATTTGCTTAGAAGTAGATACGCACTGTTGAACGGAGCGGACGATAATGTCCGCTTACAAGTAGATATCGAAGAAAGAGGACATATTTTAAAAGCAAATGATATCGTAAATATTTGCTTAAAAGCAACCGCGGTTTATTATATCTGCTAAGATTGATAATATCTGCTTACAAGTAGTCCAAAAAGATACCTGCTTACAAACAGTCCAAAAAGATACCTGCTTACAAGTAGTCCAAAAAGATACCTGCTTACAAGCAGGTATCTGCCAACAACCAGGTTCAGAATAAACATAACGACTGCTTACCAACACCTCCAGTGTTGAATTTTGAAAATAATTCCATAACAGAAATTGAAATTCTAGAAATTTAGTATAGGTTTGATATTCATTAGGCAAGAATGAAGTAAATGAAAAGGTCATTAGACATCTTGCGGTGGAATAAAAAAATAATCTTTTAATCCTTTAGTCTCAATTTACTTCAAGCTATTTTTCAACACTCGTAGTTATGTCACTTCCGTTTAGAAAGCAGTTTTGTGCTTTCGGTCCAAAATAACCTCTCGAAAGAATTTAAATTCTGTAGAATGAACTAACAGATAAAATTACTTGGTGTCAACACTACAACCCTACAATTTTTTGCCGGGTTGTGGACCCTGCTAGCAAGTACTGGGGTGAAAGTTCTGATCGTCGGATGTATTCCTCGTGTAGTATTTATCCTTTTCTTGGGTTCTGACTGTGCCTGATGAGATCCCTTCCTGGTTGTTGGACTGTTTTTCATCCCGATGCGTTGAATGTCATCATCAACTTACACTGTTAGCGGAGTCGCCTTCACGTTTGAGTTTTCAGATTTTTGAATGCTGTCACGCTGATGCCTTCCGGGTGATTGACCTGCAATTGATTACAGATGAATGTTATTGGTGTTGTAACACCTTTCTGTTGTGCTGTATACCGGCAAGTGGACTTGCGCAATGACTGCCTATCATACCTATCAATAACGGATTGTGAAGAAAGACAGTATGTAGAGTAGAGTAGAGTACTTTATTTGACCATTTTACATAAAGTTGTACGTTTATGGCAAGTCATAAATACAGAAATCCTTGATCAGAAATAAAATGCATCTACCTACTATGAAATATAAGTAAAGAATACAGGGCTTTTCATGATGAGCGTTAATTAGCCATTTCTGACAAACTATTCAACGGATCAACCTGAAAATTTCACAGTATGCATAAGTCAATATGACCTACACGCCTAAAATATTTCAGACGAAGCGGCGTTGTCGCTTCTACTATAAAGTAGCGGCTTCTTTGATTTTTCAAATGGAACACTGCGTATATAATATCATATTATGATTCATTATCACTTTGTCAACAAATTCATCTACTATTTCCCTATACCTATCTTGGAATTCAAATGATTTTAAATAATAGACCAGGAAGGGAACGTGTATGGTACCAAATGGATGGTGCTCCACCCCATAATTCTCATTCAGTCAGCGAAGCTTTAACCGAAATCTTCGAAGACAGATGGATTGGTAATAATGGACCTTTTCGTTGGCCTCCTAAAACACCAGATGGCAATCCATTAGATTATTTCGTGTGGGATTTCATTAAAAAAATGGTTTACTCTACTCCAATAACAACAATGGAAGATATGAAATCGAGAGTTGCAACTGCTTTCAATAGTTTGACTCCAGACTTGATCAGAAGCGCTAAACATGACAATCTTTTGAAGAGATTACATGTTTGTTTAAGTAGAGGTGGAGATGTGTTTGAACATATTCTGAAATACACTGACGATTAAATCAACTCATTAATTCATGGGTTTATTATTTTCAGTTCGTGTTTCAGCGTTAATAAAACTATTGTTTGAAGAGAAGTTTCATTCGATGGTTGAGGAGTATTTTAATAATTGTCTACCTGTGACTAATTACAAAAATGAGTGATGAACAAGGAAACCATATCAATTTTCGTTTGAAACAGTTTATCTTGAAAACGGTTCAAAATAGAAATAGTATTATCTGAACAAAGTTGATCTAAAATTGGATGTAGAGCTCAAAAATGTTGAAATATACAAGGTGTTTCATTTGAAAAAATTGAGTTCCACTCATTTTTTCATGAGATCAAAGTATCTGCATTTTTTGATGACCCTGTATGACGCAAATGAAAATGTGACTCGGAGTGAAGATCCTCATAGTATCACTCCACTCCATTTCAAATTTGATCGTTTTAGTGCAAGAGAGTTCAAGATTATCAGCATTTATAAAAGTTCATGTTTGGTAAAAAAATATCGAAATTAATTTATATCTTCTAAACGATAATAGATAGGTATAGGGAAATAGTAGATGAATTTGTTGACAAAGTGATAATGAATCATAATATGATATTATATACGCAGTGTTCCATTTGAAAAATCAAAGAAGCCGCTACTTTATAGTAGAAGCGACAACGCCGCTTCGTCTGAAATATTTTAGGCGTGTAGGTCATATTGACTTATGCATACTGTGAAATTTTCAGGTTGATCCGTTGAATAGTTTGTCAGAAATGGCTAATTAACGCTCATCATGAAAAGCCCTGTATAAGTATAAATAAAATCATAAATATAAAATCTTTGAAATATGTCGCTAAAACTGAAATATAGGTATGCTGTTTTAATGAGGCCTTTCGTAAGTTAAAGATCCTGCCATTTCAATATATTCCTCTATATTATAGAAACAGTGTTGGAGGAGAAAGCTTTTGATGATAAATTTAAATTTAGTGAGGTTGAGTTACTCCACAGGTTAATGAAGATGATAATAAAGATTTAAGTTCGGTGAATTTCTTTGACTGACAGTCAGATTATGTCTAGATTGGTTCAATAAACTTGCGGACCTCGTTTCATATGCTTTATTTTCACCATGTCTTTTTAATTTGACAACACTTTCATGGATCTCCAGTAACACTTTATAGACATACAGTGTTGGAAGTGGCATAATGCCGAGTTGAATAAAAAGAGGACGACATACTTCCCTTGAAGTATGTATGATAACATTTTCAGCTGGATTCATTAGTTACTTTGTTTGTGGCAGCCACTTAGGTTAGCAGTGCTTCTGAGAGCTCAGCAAATTTCGTTTGTTATAACAAATGGATCAAATAATTTGTACCAAACTCTGCGTAAAGAATGAAATAAAGTGTAGCAAAGTGTGTGAAATGTTAACAAAGGCGTACGGCCAGTTTGCTATGAGTAAAATAACCGTTTATGTAAGCAAAATGGTTGCAAAGACGTTGAGGATGATAAACGTCTTGGGCGACCCACCACATCCACAACAGATGAAAACAAGGAAAAACTGAGGGAAATGATTATGAACTACTGCCTAATGACAATTTGTTTCAGAGTTATCAAATTTTCAACAAGAGTCACGTGCTATAACAGGTAAAAAAAATGTGGGACTAAGGATACGACATCGGAAAAAGTAAAAGTTGTGGGCGCTGTGGCACTGTGGATTTTAATGGCATAGTGCATCATGAATTCTTACCACGAGATCGAAAGGCGAAAAGGAATACCACCTACAAGTTCAATGCCGTTTGCGCGAAACAATCCGAAAAAACCGTGCGGATTTGTGGCTTTTGCACCACTATAATGCACCTGCTCACACTTTGTCGCCTGTTCGTGATGATTTGGCCAAAAAAATACTGTACGATGCCACAGCCTCCATATGTGCCAGACATGGCTCCATGTGACTTTTTCTATTTTCAAAAATAAAGAGGAGCTTGACGGGCCGTCGTTTCACAAGCATAGATACTCTCAAAATCGCATCACTTGAACAGCTAGATCATTCCGAAGATTGAGTTTGAGAAGTGTTTTGAGGATAGGAAAAATAAGAATGAGAATATCATTGAATTTCATTAGTTCGGACTTCCATTGTCCAATATTATATAAAATGATTCGGAATCCCTAAAAAAACTAATACAATTGAAAATTAAAATGAATAGTTGAAAGTAACTACCGCCAAACGGTCAGCTCCCGCCAAGCGATCAGCTCCCGCCAAGCGATAAGCTACCGCCTAGCGATCAGCTCCCGCTAAGCGATCAGCTCCCGCCAAGCGGTCAATTCCAGCCAAACGGCCAATTCCAGCCAAACGGCCAACTCCAGCCAAACGGTCAACTCTCGCCAAACGACCAACTCCAACCAAACGGTCAACTCTAGTCAAACGGTCAACTCCCGCCAAGCGATCAGCTCCCGCCAAGCGGTCAATTCCAGCCAAACGGTCAACTCCAACCAAACGGTCAACTCTCGCCAAACGACCAACTCCAACCAAACGGTCAACTCTAGTCGAACGGTCAGCTCACGCCAAACGGTCATCTACCACTGAACCCATAAAGTGGAGAGAATGAAGAGGGGATAGGTGAAAGCACTCGAATGACCTAGAAATAGTCATCTCTCGCAGGAATTAGTCCAGTCATCATTCAAAGACGATTGTGGATACTAACAATCGAAACGTCGTGAAGTAGGTTACTTGGCTTGAAATCTTTTAATTCTTACTTCCTTTCTTTTTTTTAATTGTTCAACTTTCAGTTTTTTGCTTGTATTTTACTTCATTATAATTTCTTTTAAGGGTTTTTTCTGCTTGATATAAATGTTATTTTCAGCTATTCATTGAAATTATCAATTGTATCGATCCTTTCAGGGATTCCAAATCAATTTATATCATACTAGTACTATGTTACTGTATCGCTGCAGTTCCAATGTTTCGACAGACTCAGAATAAACGAACTTAGGCGTGCGCAGCGTTATAGAACAGTGCTTTCAAAAAAATTGTTCTACAGCGCCATCTAGTGGCGAGTTACAGAAAAATTGATAGCCTAAAAACCTTCTCTATGAAAAATTACTAACACATGTCAAGTTTCATCACGATCGGTTGAGCAATGTAGAAGTTTATCACTTACCAACCAACCAACCAACCAACCAACTAACCAACCAACCAACCAACCAACCCACCAACCAACCAGCAAACATTCATTTTTATATATATGATTATACAATGGAACTCCGAACTAATGAAATTCACCACGAAACATTGTCAATCACCTTCAAACGAAAGAATATCATTCAGTGCATTTTATTCTCAAAATTTTATCGTTTATGACGTCAGTAAAAAACTCATCGTGGAACTACGAGAACATTCCGGGTATTTTCCCGTCCAACAAACAACTCACATGTCATCCCGAGCAAAACCGTCTAACAACCCACCTTTACGTTCAGCGGACTAACGGGGGACATTTGCGCGATGGCCCTGTGGACGGGCGACATCAGCGGGGGCGGCGTCGTTTTCTTCCGCTTGTTGAAGCCGTTGAATTGAGTATCCGTGCAGTTGGGCCTTTTCGGAGCGACAGTCTTGAATTTGACCTGGTGTCGGTTCGGAGAGTTATCAGTCAAGGAAGTGGTACAGTCTTGGTTCTCGTAATGGACCTGCGGGCTGGGGGTTGAGCAATATTCGGAGCCGGGGGACGGCAGGTTGCTCATCAGCTGCGCGACGGCCTGGTCGACTTGTTCGGGGTCCTCTACCAAATCGATGGATCCGTTGCTTGATGGCACCAAAGCTTCCTATAAATAAAAATAAATACTGACCTACCAACATTTCTTGTTGGGTACCTTGAAAAATGGCACACACGTTTATTGTGTTTGCATTTTGCATAGATTGTTGCGAAGCATTCCACGGAGTAATCATAAACTTCTAATCGATAAACTGGGGTCTTTGGGAATTGGTGGTGGGCTTCTTGACCCATGAGAAGTCGGAGTCAGACTCAACGATTACAAAACAGATGGAATTTTTGTTCCGTGAGGTGTCCCACAGTAATTACACTGTGGACCTCTGCTATTCAACTTGAATGAGGCTCTTATCAATCAGTGTAAATATTCTCTTCACAGATGATCTCGACTTGCTTTATCGTTCTAAAGATATTCCAACAGCCGTATTCTCCAAGGTGATACTAATGATTTATATGATTGGAACATTTCTAATTTTTTGAACGTGAACACAGATAAGCATTTCACAGTCTTTTTTCCACCTTGAGTAGGATTACTGAAACCTCTGCCAACTTTAGGCCTATTTCTATGCTACCTACCCTTGCTAAAATCATAGAAAAACTTGTTAAACAAAGAATTATGCTGTTTGTGAAAAAGCATAATATTATTAGTAGCAGTCAGTATGGGTTTCAGAGTTTGAAAAACACGGAAGATGCTATGTTTCATCTACTGGAAAACGTGTATCTCAATTTAAATAATCGTGAAATAGCAGCGGCAGTTTTTTGCGATCTATCAAAAGGTTTCGATTGCGATTACTCCCCAGGAAGAAATTCCATGCCTTGACTGAGAATCAACGAGTGAGAAATGAGACGATTCAGGGACAAACAAACTAAGTTCCTTATACGGTATTCTCATTGCGAAACACCCTGTAGATAGTTTTTTATTGAGGGTTACAATGTGATCGGCGAAATTGAGTTTGTCAATTATTACCCATAAAAATTTGGAACTAGGTCTGTTTTGAATCACCTTGTCTGCGTCCTTTAATGTTAATGGTATGCTGTCAATAAAGCAGTGGAATGACATTAAGTTTATTTTGGAAACATTAAATGAAGATCACATCAAGTTTTCAAGTCATAATATCGAGATATCATCGACGAATTGGGTAAATTTTCCTTCTATATCAATAGATGTTAAATCGTTAGTGTATAACAAGAAAAGTACCGGTCCCAACATTGAACCTTGTGGTACGCCTTTGTTTATTCCGCGAATGCCATAGTAATAGAATTTTTTCAGCAGTATTCCGCGACGGTCTACTTAGTCAAAGGCTTTAGTAAAGTCACATAACACTGCTGCTGATTACTCTTTTTTTTATTGATATTTCAATAAACATTGTACATTGTATAAAAAATAAAGAAAGGAACGTAGGTGTTTTTTTAACTGAAAGCCAAACTGACTCAACCTTATTTTCAATTAAGTACACGAAAGATTCAAGCTTTTTTCTTTATCGAATTAGTCAAGAACAAAGCGGAATTTATGCATAATTTGAAATCACGGATTATTGAGATCTGCTAGACTTGTTGTGACGTGAGCAGAAACGCAAATTAGCTGAATGCAAATGAATTTCAAGTGGATCAAATATCAACATCAACATGGTTGATAAATTCCGCAAAATTATTCACTACCAGCTCTTAACAGATACCAAACATGAGTGACGCAGATGACCTAAACTTAGAATTTCTATTAGTAGTGTGTGTGTGTCTTTCTTCAAAGTAACGAGACATCTTATGATATATTTCCCATTTACGGAGGTGGTCCCAGAATTACCCGGCCTGTCCTAGAGATGCCGGTAGTTTAGTATTCATTTGGCAGCCATCAATAGCGAACGTTTTCGGCGAAGTTGTGGAAATGGAGAAAATTGGTCATCGTTATGTGGTATCTGAAAGGCCTCAGCTCAACCAATATAAAAGCTGAACTGTACTCTGGGTGAGTCTGCTCCTTCGTTCACAACAGCAATAAAATATTGGGTAGCAGAGTTTGAACGAGATCGCAGTAAGATATTTGAGCCGGTTCTAAGCCTCCCCTACCACTATGACGTCATTAATGAGTATTAAATGACAAGTGGTGTATTTAGGGTGGCCTTGAACGATATGTCTAGTGTATAATTAGTTTTGACCTTGAACAGACATATCGTTCAGGTACATAATTAGTTTCAACTTTGAACGATATGTCTGGTGCATAGCTGAAAATATGTATATTCATAGGAATATTTTTATTTTCTGAGACATTGGGTGTGTGTGTGACGTCATAACAATTGTTTGACCTTGAGACGGGCGAGGCGCACACCAAAAAGTTTCTCCAATGAGCAATTTTTGGGCTCATCTAGTTAGTGAGTGGTAGTGTAGAGAAAGGGAGTAATGACATTGGAATTTGCATACACGGTAAAGAGTGGGTTTAGCATACTTCTTCATGTGTACTCTGTACAAACTAGTTTGCATATACACGTGCGCCCACACACAAGACGAGCATCGCAGTGGTCGACCAATTGAGGTGACAACTCCGAAAACGGTTACGAAAATCCACGAAGAGGTACTAAATGATCGTCGACAGAATGTGCGAGAGCTAGTAGACTTAGTAGGCATTTCCAAAATGTGCGGCACATCGTGTATTATTTAAAATTTTGGGCATGAGAAAGCTGTGCGCAAAATGAATGCCGCCTTTGCTCATACTCGAGCAAAAACAGTGTCGTGGGGATGTTTCAATTGAGTGTTCAGCAACAAAGTAGAATTCTTGCGTCGTTTCATAACCTTGGAACAAATGAATAATCAAAACAGTGGACTCAAAAGAGAGAACCGGCCCCAAACAAGGCGAAGACTGTTTTATCTGCAAGCAAGGTCATGGCACTGGTTTTTTAGGATGCGCGTTGGATAATTTTCATTGACTATCTTAAAAAAGGAAAAACTATCAACGACAAGTATTGTGGGAACTTATTGCAACGTTTGAGTAAAGAAATTAAGCAAAAACAGCCATAGTTGACCAAGAAAGGAGTGTTATTTCATAAAGACAATGCACCAGCTCACAAATCTATTATCGCAGTAACCAAAATTAACTGCTAACTGTTTGAATTGCTACCTCATGCACCCTATTCGGCAGATTCAGCCCCCACGGATTAGTTTCTGTTCCCAAACTTGCAAAAATGGCTCAGTGGTCAAAGATTCTCCAAATATTAGAAAGTGATGTCGGCAGTCAATGGCTATTTTGAGGAGCAAGACAGTTCTTATCATACAAACGGTATCGAATTTATTGAACATAAAAAATACATTATTTTCCAAAATTTTTGGAAATTCAAAATATCGACTCACCTCCTCTTCAGTTGGGCTGTTGATAATCGCCGAATATTTCTTTTTCATATCGTCAATCAGCTGCATGCCCTCTCTTTGGGTCACCAATGTATTTACACACACAAAACTTTCGACAGTACCTTGCTCGTCTATTTCTAAGAAACCGTACGTCTTCAGGAATATGAATTGTCCATTCCTAGACTGCAGTCGATAGCACGAAGATCCTCTGCTTTCACCTCTATCATACACTGTTGGAAGAAATAGCTGACGTGAAAAACAATACCAAGAGAAAGAGAATCAACTGAAAATATAAAGTATGTGTAATTGATGACTTGTTGTGGAAATTTATGATCACTTTAATGAAATGAATAAAAATACTTTTGCCTAATTTCCACTAGTTACTTTATTTTTATTTCCGGTTTCGGGTTTTATCTCATTTTCAAGTATGAAACTAACTGATACATTTGAAATTTGAAAACGAGGTTTTATAGGGAGTTTGTAGGTGAGCTAGAAGGGGAGGTAGATAAAAAAACAAGGGTGCCAACCATAAAATTCGTTTTCAGATTTCATTAAAGTGAAAATATTCATCTCAAAAATGAAATCTGTGCCGTGGTCGTGGGTGTGTGGTCCAATGGAGTCTGAAGTACCGGACATTTCGTCTAGACTGCTGAGTCAGTTTTGTAATATAATAATGAATTTATTAATCCCAAGAAACATTACATCTAGTTCAAGATGTATTCTTTCAGTTGTGTTTTGAATTTCATAGAATTGAATTTTTTTATATTGTCAGATATTTTAATAAACAGGGTGTTTATTAAACATACGCAAAAAATTTAACGGACTACTCCTTGAACCATTTTAAGAATATTTTGTCTTCTGATGATCCTTGGAGTCAAAGGAATGGTCCCTTACTTTTTTGCCGCATGTTTAATAAACACCCCATCGTGAAAAATAAATTTTTGACCAAATTTGCTTTTGTGCGACACACTTACTCTGTCTCAAGGCAATGATAACCCAGCGTACATCATCCCGATGCATGTATTTGAACGCCGAGTCCCCTGTAACCTCGTCTATCATATATCCCGCCACCGTTGATATTCTTTGGTCGCAACCTATTATGCGACCGTCTATAAGGTGCCTCGTCATGTATTCCTCTTTGGAAGCTTCTATCAACAACTCCACCAAAGGCTCTGGTTGACAAATCTTCACGAACAACACCATTATCTGAAAAACCACCAGGTTATTAGGTTGTTTTAGAAGATTTCTCCGTTCTAATGTCGTTTGTTTTTGTAGCTCCATATCTTGGCAACGTTTTTGAATATTCCTAGCCTACTATTTGCAGACACCCTGAAACTATGTTATAAAATCGACGACATTACTGACTGCCAAAGTGTAGTACAACATGAATTAGATGTAATCAAACTTTGGTGTAATAATAATCGTCTACAACTACATACTACAACACATATAAGGAATATGACTGTTGATGCAAATATGATGCTTGGATTCATTTACAGAAATGGCAAAAACTTCAAAAGTATTGCCACCTTAAAATTGCATCATTTTGCGTATGCCAGATCTAAGTAAGAGTATGGCTCTGTGTTATGGAATCCAGTTTACGACTACCAAAAAACATCAATTGAGAGCGTGCCTACTTTGTCTAAAAGTTAATGGACAATACCCCACGAGAGGCATCGATTATAATATTTTGTTGACACGATTTGACATGACATCTTTGGAAAATGGGAGAGTTATCCTTGGTATAAAATTCCTGCATAAATTACTGAACAACAATATTGACAGTACGGTTCTTTTACCCGAGATCAATTTCTTAGTACCAAGAAGTGAAGTTCGACACAATCTGAAATTCAATTGCGAAGCATCACGCACAAATGTTATGGTACGATCACCATTGAATTGTATGTGCAGTAGCTTCAATGAAATCTGTGAACATTGCGATATTCATTTCGACTCTCTGAATGCCTTGGTATCATGTATCCACGATCACTTCTAATATTACTGTAAATAACATTTGTGTCAGTACTGCTACATTGCATGATTTGTAACTATTTCTGTTATATGCTTCATTGTTCATTCCTCTTTTGAAATTCTACGTATACGAATATTTTATATATACTTTGTTTTAGCATTTACTTTTATACATTTCTGTATTTCATTATTTTTAATATTTATTTCATATATACTCTGTAATAATAGCATTTCATGTAACTGGGTACTCCTGTTGGAAATAAATCGCTTTTTTTATGTATTCATCATTTTTGATACATGGGTGTATATATGATATGTCACATTTTATAAAATATTTTGATATATCACCTGTATCATTTACAACTCAATATATTATTTTTCTTTCTATGTTTTTCACCACTTTATCATATAAGGACATTTTCAAACTAATACATTAAACTAAAAATAATTGATTACATTAGCCCTTATATTATAACACCACTGTAGGTTATAACAGAGGTACTCAATTAATGAGTAATATGCATCACATATTGAGTTCGTAGGGAAAATAATATATTTTAAACAATCAATATGTCAATTGCCATTTTAAATTATTGTATACTGAAAATTTCATCTATTGAATTTTTTAATATTGAATAAAGGGCATTTTCTTGTGGAGAAAATCGGGGTTTTCTTCGATATTTTTTGGGATTGCAACTTTCCACGGCCAGAGAAAAATAAGAATTGTAATGGAATCTTTATCGTGTGTAGTTCAACCTAAAAAGTAACTGTGAATTTCAAGACGTTTTTCACAAAGAAAAAATATATCATTTGTCATATATAATAATATTGCTTATCAAAGAAAGACCTGCAAAATTATACGTATCTTAACATTTCGTAGGCTGAAAACTTTCAGTTTTTTATATCCCCTTGAACATACCTTTGACAATATATTCGAATCATGTTTCTTTCACAAACTTGACGAAGCTTGCATTTGGGATCAATACTGTCGTAAACCATCCCCTACAAAAAAACACCGGCCGCCGCTGGTCGTCATAAATCATTTGTGACGTGCTCAACTCGAAGTGCGCTCGCGACCGTTCTAGACGTCGCGTCCCTTCGAGAACAATGCTACCGGCTTCGATGGAATTCCGGCGAATTCTCTACCGCTTTCTAGGCACTTCGATTGCCATATATAAACGCTACCCACGAGCACATCCATATAGTCAAGTTTAAGTGACAGTGCGGCACGGAGTGATCTAATAAGGCGATAGACATTCTAATACTAGTTAAAATTTAGTTTTTGGTTGTATTAACAGTGAAATAAGGTTGAGTGTAATTATTGTACAGTGTGATCGGTTATTTTTAAATCCACGGGTAAAAGTAACAATATAAAAACTAAAACACTTACACTATTATTCAAACCACTCGACGTCGACGATGAACTACTACTACTGCTTGACGACGGTGAATTGTGATTCAGTTCGGGGTAACCTGCCGGCTTGTGCATCCCCATCATGCGAACCGGCTCGTAAACGGCCGATTCCGAACGAGGGCCGGCCCTCTTCAGTCTGACGCTGAAGTATTTCTTCCACTCTCGATCCACGTCACCCTCACACTGCAAATAAGTCCTCAACCGTTCGTGGTCTTCGGGAGAGGTGATGTTGAAAATGGATTGGCCCATGAGATCAGTCTGGAAATGAGATCGAATTAATGACACGTGACAAAATCGGCAATGAATGATTGAATTGTGATTTAAAAAAAGCCTGTATTTATTCAGATTTCCAAATCTGTTCAACATTTACATATGCCTCTGGTTCATTACCAAACATTAAATTTTTATTTCTTTTTTTTTATTATTTTTGTTTCACACTTGAAAATATGGTTTAGGTTGCATTTACAATTGATGCGGGCAAATAATTTAAATTGTTGTTCTCAAGAACATTATGTTGACGAAATTCTACTACTTATTCCTACTATTCAAATCTACTCATGCCGATCCTGTCCTTTTTTTATTTCCTCGAATTGGTCGTTCCAGAATATATTCAAGGAAAGGAGCAGAGAGACAGAAAAAGTTCTTCTTCGTGATCGGGTGTAAAAACTGCAATACAATTTCGTCGTGGTGCGAACCCACACAGTTACATGTGCGATTTTTCCTTGACTAATAAGGAACTTTTACTCCTAAAATACCTCATTCTGCTATACTACATCAAACAAGGTGAGTTACCTTATTGATCTTGCAATTGATTTTTTATTCGTACTTTTACGCAAAGTTTGAGATCAAAACAAATCTCAGTAGTGAACCTGCGTCCTTATTCCATACACCGCTTCAAAATCGTTCATGGTCCTTCGAGCCGGATGTAGTTTCTCAACATTTAGATTTGTAGTTTCAAACTTGGCAATAATACAAATTTTGAATGCAACCTGCGTCTGTATTTCATACACCGCTTCAAAATCGTTCAGCCTCTGAGAGCCCACTATTTCCTTGGGATTTTAAAGTTTATATTAGACATTGTACAGTGTGGAAAAACAGCGATTATTAGAAAAAACATCGTTTTTTCCAAATTTAATCTCAATGAGGCATTACGTCGAAAATATTTTTTCTGGACATGGTAAGAGAATAACACTTGTTACAAAAATGATAATGTTCAAGGGAAATTCGGAAGTAATGCAGTTATAATCATTTCTGACCGGTGTTACTTTCATCGCATTCTTTTCATGGAAGAAAAAAATATGTCAAAACTACTATTAGCCCTATTGTCTGCTGATGATTATTCAAAACATTTTCTTTCTTCATTTACCTGTAAATGTCCCAATAAATTCTCAACCGTGTGTGATATAAACACGATTTTTCCTGTCGATAATAGAACTAGAAGGAATCCTCCCATTTGTTCACACACTAGTTGCTCCAAAATATATTGGTCGACGTGTTTTGGAAACTGCATACTTTGACCATCTTTGCTCTGCATTAAAGCTGAAACAATTGAAATCAACTATTAATATAGAAGAAGTAACAACGAATTTTGTAAGTTGTATTTTTTTTGTTTATGCTAAAAACATCGGGACTAAGACGTCCGTTTTGAACGTACAAACATTGTCAGTAGTTGGCGTTTGCTGTAAAATCAAGAGTAGGGTCTGAAACTCAATTGATTTCAGTTTTACTTTGCTTTTTGGGAGCCAAATATCAGAGAATTAGGGATAAACTGCTTGCCAATCCCAACGGATCTGGATCCTTCTGGTCGGTAGCCAGAACTGTTGATCAAAACTTTACAAAATCCACAGTTTCACCACCAACACAAGCAGATGGTGCATCAGCTTGTTCAACCAGAGGAAGGCAAATGGCCTAATCGTCGTCACTGTATAAGAAGGTCCTATGAATTGGTTTACCGTATATAATAAAATGGTCACTGGAGCTTTGATGTGAACATCTCGCCAAGCTGGGTCTCAGAGTTCTGGTAAGGTCACTCTGGCAACTGCCATGAAGAGGAAAGTCCCATTTGCCAATCTTCCATCGTTACGAATCACCAAAAGAAGAAGATCCGAAATGCTGATGACTTCAACATCTTTATCCAAGATCGATCTGTCTTCTAGATACTTCAAATTCAAAGTTTAACCGCGGAAAGGAAAATTTAGGAAGGAGGTATACATTCCACCGAGTTCATTTGACTTCCCAAAAGTGAAGACTGAGATGGGGACAAGCATATTCAGCAGATCCTTTGTTCTTTTGTGACAGCTCCAAAGAACAGACCAGTCGAACTTTGTGTTTGGCTACCAGTAAACAAATACGATACTGGGAATGAAGATCTGTTTCTTTCGAGGTTTTAAGTTTCCAAGCTGAGGCCTTGGAATAAACACCTTCTGCAGGTAACCAGAACTGTTTGGGCTATAGCATTACTACATATTGGACACCGAGAATGATTTGATTTAATACAAGATGAACGATTATCAACAGCCTTGCAACAGTTGATCTAGGCCAGGCAGAAGTTACACGGCAAAATGCATCAGTCTATTAACAACAGAAGGTTTTTCATACAGCTATTACTTTTTCATACTCTCTCTTAATATTACTGTGAAAACTGAACCACATTCAAGTTGCCAGCAAAATATTTATAACAGAAATCAATACAGGTTACGCTGCTACATCTTCAGTTAATTGGGGAACCCAAGCTCTTCAAACTAACGAAAGTCTTCAATATACTTTAGGAGTTGCCGGATTAAGCAAACAACATCATTCAGGCTGTTGAAAGCTCTCAACTGCCTTAAGGCTACATCATGCATACTGAGTTGCTGCGGATGCTTTTGAATCGTCTTCCAGAAAGATTTAGCAATGATGCTAGAACCATGACAGAACTCTTACACCTTTCATAAGTATACAACTGAAAGCTTGTTCACTTACTCTGATTGATTCTCATATAAGTCGCTGTCAGTCTGAGAATACTTGTTTTGTCCATTCTCTTCGAACTCCTGGACACCATCGGCACTAGTCTTGCCAGTTCTGCGATGTATGCGTTCAGTTTATCCCTCCTTTGTTTTTCTGCTCTGTTTCGCTGCTCCCTGCTGTTGCTGAAACAACAAAGCCTACATGAGCAACAATCCGGCAGAAGACCCTCAATAAAAATGTCAATTCTTTGAAATTATTCTAGAAGATTTCAATAAACGTGTACAATAGTAACAATAAGTCAACAAACAAGTAGAAAATATTGCACCGAGAGAGCTGATTGACATAAACAAAAGGTACTTGTGATGTACTGTTTGGAAACTTTGGTGCAGTAATGAATATTACTGGAGTTTTCTCTCAACATCATACCGTTATTTTTAGCATCTTGACACGAGTTTAGATCACCAGGTGATTATCTTCAAGAGTTTTAGAGAGTAATTTTCACATATCACATGCATGGACAATGCAATACAGGGTGTAACTAAATAAGTGTAAAAAATTTAAGGAGGTGATTCCTCATCGAAAAAAAGATAAATCTTTCATGTAAAGAAATTTCATTGGAGCATCTCTTGTTAAGATACAGCCCCTTAAAGGGGGTATATGAAATTTGTACAACAAATTTTTTCACAAGCACAAAAAAGTTACAATACTGAAATTAACCTGACGTTTTGTACTACCAAAAAGACACTTAGCCAGAAATTTATTTGGTTTACCCCATGGTTGTAGGGGGGTGGAAAACGCAACCCCTAAAATTTATTTCCAATGTAACTTTTTGTTTTATTATTTGTTTACCATTTATTTTCCATTTATTTCCGATAGCCTGTTTCATTCTAAACAAAAAATGTCTCTTGGGTTTTTTGCCCGAAATAAACCAGTTCGCAGCAAAAAATTATTTTACGAAAAACTACAGAGATACATCGTCATAAATGCGAAAATACGAAACTAATCTATCTAGTAGGTCGCTATTAGCGATAGCGACAATTGAATTGGTATGACGCTGTCAGTTTGTGAATTTTCGAAATTGAATTAATACTAATTGTGTGTTGTTGTTCTGTTCTTAATTTGTTACTTTAATAATTCACTTGTTATTAAAATGGCATACACAAATGAGGAAATGGCTGATATGCATTACGTTTACGGTCTGTCGCAGGGGAATGGGTTAGAAGCTTCTAGAAGATATGCTGAAATGTATCCTCAACGGCAGCATCCTTCACATAGAATATTTGCTCGACTTCATCAACGATTACGAGAATATGGTTCATTCGACAAAAGAACGCAGGATTGTGGTCGCCATCGAAAAGTACGAACACCACAGCTTGAGGAAGCAGTACTTAATTTGATTGAAGAACAACCTACTACCAGTACTAGAAAGACTGCTTTCCAGCTAAATGTTGATCATATGACGGTTTTTCGAATTTTGAAGAAACAACTCTTATACCCTTACCATCTGCAACGAGTACAGGCACTGTTACCGCGAGACTTTCCGAACTGTCTTGAATTTTGCAATTAGATGCTGGAAATGATTAGAAGAAATTGTGACTTTCTGAAGACGATAGGATTCACAGACGAATGTAGTTTTTCTCGGGACAAGATTATTAATTTTCATAATTACCACATATGGGCTGATGAAAACCCTCACGCTATTGTGGAAACTAACCATTAAGAACAATTTTCTCTTAACGTGCGGCTTGGAGTTATTTGGGATGATTCCATTGGGCCTCATTTTCTACCTCCTCGATTAAATGGTGAGGCATACGTTCAATATTTAAGAGAAGTGCATCCAGAACTGCTGGAGGAAGTTCCTTTGGGCGTCAGAAGGGATATGTTTTTTATGCATGATGGGGCTCCCGCCCATTTTAGACAAGTAGCACGTCAGCATTTAACTGAAACATATGCAAATCAGTGGATAGGTCGAGGAGGACCACAGAACTGGCCCGCTCGATCCCCGGATCTCAATCCTCTCGATCTCAATATTTGAGTAAATGCGCCGACGTCTAGACGCATGCCTAATGTCTGAAGGTTGACATATTGAACATTTACTATGATTTCTACATGTTGTGTGTTTAGTTATTAATAAATTAGTTTTGTTTATTATCCTTTAATCATTTAATGCAGGTACTAACTACAAAATAACAATAGATCCAATTCGCATTTATGACGATGTATTTCTGTAGTTGTTCGTAAAATAATTTTTTGGTGCGAACTGGTTTATTTTCGGCAAAAAACCCAAGAGGCATTTTTTGTTTAGTATAAAACAGGCTATCGGAAATAAATTTTTAAATGGTAAACAAATAATAAGACAGAAAGTTGCATTGGAAATATATTTTAGGGGTTGCGTTTTCCACCCCATATAACCATTGGGTAGACCAAATTAATTTCTGGCTGAGTATCTTTTTGGTAGTAAAAAACGTCCGGTTAATTTCAATATTGTAACTTTTTCAGTGCTAGTGAAAAAAATTGTTATACAAATTTTATATACCCCCTTTAAGGGGATGTATCTTAACAAGATATGCTCCAATGAAGTTTCTTTATATGGAAGATTCTATCTTTTTTTCGATGAGGAATCACCTTCTTTAATGTTTTACACTTATGCAGTTACACCCTGTATATCTGAGAAAATATATATCATGGAATGGGTTTATAATCAGAAAAGACTTAACTGTTGACCGAACTATGAAGGGGTTTTCGACTTGTAGATGTACATCAACCCTCGAGGTCGATTTGATAAAACCTTTCAACTTATTTTTGAATTGTTCGATATTATTAATTTCTGTGATGTATTGCGGAAGTCGCCCGTAGAGATTCGGGGCCAAAAATTCAACATTCTTCTGCCCAATAGATTTTAAAGTTGGAGGAGCCAAGTAAGTATTGTGTTTCTGTCTTGTGTTATAGTGGATTTAGTTTTATACTGTTCAACATTCAAAATGAAAAAAAATAGCTGTGTCGGGTCTGAGATTTCAGTTTCAGAGTAAAGAATGTCTGATGAGTATCGGATAGTTTAACAGAAAAAAATTTTAATAATTATTCTCTGTACTACCACTAAATTATTAATAATAGTTTTTCTGGCGGCCCCCAAGCTACTATTCCATAAACTATACGCGATTCCACTGCAGCGTGATACACTGTTTTCAGTTGGATTTTTTTCAAAATATCTGAGGTTTTTCAGTTCGTAAATTAAAAAATGTAATTTTTTGATCACATACGCGACATGCTTATTCCACGTGATACGACTGTCAATAATCACACCTACATACTTAAGTTCAAATCTAGATTCTATTGAAAAATCATCAGAAATTTTCAAAATAGTGAAGGACGGCAAAGTGGATCTATTTGTGTTTGGTGTGGATTTTAGGCTGGCGGCGTTTTTTTGAGAACGACGTTGCCCAGGCCATCACTGTCAACGGCACTATAGACCATTGATTACCAACTTCTTTTGGCCTGAATTATAGTCTATTTCAAAAGAGTGTAGAGTAATAAATCATGAAGTGTCATAAAATTTGCCTGAATTTCGTTGTCGTCCATGGGCGTAGGCAAATCTTAGGATTATTAAACTTAATAATTAAAGTAAATTAAAAATTACAGACATAGATAATAATAAAAGGCCATTTTTGGGAAGTAATTTGGTCTAAAACTAAGTACCTACATGTATTTAGGTAAGTAAAATTTCTTAAAAAAAGATTAAGATTAATTTTAGTGGTTCTTGTAAACTTATTTAATATGCAATTTGGGTTCATATACTTGAGCATGATTTCTCAAAAAAGGGTTAACACTTAGTTCCGAGGTGCCATGTCATTATAATAATCCCTTTTTGACCCTGCCCACCAATCATGCAATACCTATTAAAC